TAAATTCTATTCTGAATTTTACAGGGAGCCAATGCAGAGAAGCTAGTACAGGAGAGATGTGATCTCTTTTCCTAGTTCCTGTCAGTACTCGTGCTGCATCTTAATGGACTTATTGGGGCAGCCTGATAATAGGGAGTTGCAGTAATCCAGCCACCACATTCTTCGACCCACCCTGCTCTGCCTCTGATTTGCTAGTGTAAAATACAAACAACAAATAAAATACAATAAAATATGTATGTATAACAAAAAATAGTGTTTAATAAAACGTATACTAGAAACTAGTATGGAAGCCTATTTCTGATAATGAAAAAAGGATTCTCTAGGTCAGTATAACTTCTGACTTTGAGAAACTTTCCCAATATCATTTTCATTTACTATGTCATTATTTTTAAATACACATTGTCACATTGGAATAAATGGGCCTCCATAAAAACAGTTATAAAATTATAAAAAAAAAAAAAAGATAAATCAATAAGAGGGATGAAAAATAAAATATTAATAATAAAGTTAAAACTGATACAATAAATTAACAATAACATTTTACAATATTTTTTTTATCACAAATATAATAACATAAGTAAACATAAATAAAGTACATAATGTCAAAAACATTCCTAGTTAAATGCCAGACTGAAGAGGTCTTGAGTTTACTTTTAAAGATTGGAACACTACCAGCTGCTCTCAGATCCTCCAGCAGAGTGTCCTAGCAGCTTGGAGCATAAAACCTAAAAGCTGCCTCCCCAAGGCTTTTAGTCATGCACTCTGGACTAACAGACTCATTCCAGAGGATCTAAGGGGCAGCTCTGGTTTATACGCTGTAAGCATGTGAATTTATAGCGGTGCAAAACCTTACAAAATTAGCTATACAGAGGTGTGAAAGCAACCAGATGTGGGCAGGTGTGGTTTATTGTACTTTTCTGTGATGTAGCGTTGAACTGTACTGTACTGCACAACGTGTGGAAGGAACATGTACACCAGATTCCACCACTAGTTGGTAGCACAAAGATGATCATTTGAGTGGGTGTTTGTCTTTAACAAATGCATGATGATCATGAATGTTAATGCCAAACTCTGCAGGCTGTGGGTGTGTTGGATCGCGATCTTGTAAAAGACCATCTGTGGTTGTATTTGTGAAGGAGTGACCTGGTATATGAGCAAGTTCCTGTATTTAGCAAGCCAGGAATAGATTGTTTGTGAAAAAGACGATAAAAAGACCCACAAGCGCCAACGCAGGGTTTTAAAAATATCTCCCAAAACCTTTTAATATCCCATCAGAGGAGCAGACACAGAGATAAGACGCTGCAGGCTCAGACTGATGGCAGGGAGAAGTTTAGAGAGTAATTTTACAAGCTCATTCAGCAGGTGTAAAATGACTTGACACAAAAGAGGGAACTAGAGATAAAACCATTTGCCCTTCATTATCGCCCCCTTCCCCTCTGTCCCCCACAGGCTGCATGTCAATAACTGACTCATAAAAATGCAGTAATTTCCTATAATTAAAATATAGTTTTTAGCTTTAATTTTACATAAAGTCTTGTTTTTTTAATATTTGATTTATTATAATACAAATAATCAGGCTAAAATCTGTAGAAGAGTGCTGTTATTATTATTTTAATCGGAAGTTTAAAAGTTATAGAACTGTAATTAAAGTCACCATCAGTAATTACTGCTGTTTTCAGTGATAAAAACATTATTTATTCAACGTTTTTGTTGTTAAAATGTCCAGAATTATACAAGATATCTGTCAATTAACATACAAATCCATGTAAAATTACAGCACAAATAAAAAACGTTTTTGTACTGTTAATTGTCAGTAAGTTTTTACATAATTTTAGAAATACATTAACTGTATTAAACTTGAATTTAACCTATTTAATAAACAAAAGAAAAACATTTTATGTGGAAAAAAATGATTTACAGTTACAGATTTCACATTTTACATTAGACCTGTAAATTCACAGGCCATATTTTGATGGATTTAAAAAATGCTGTTAATGTATAGTACATAAACCTGGACACATGAATAAAATTCCATAAAGTAAATAATGTGCAGATAGGGCGTGACTTTGAACATGGACAGGATCAGGTCTTTAGGCCCTCAGGGATTCAGGGTACTGGTATGTGTTTGAATATTTTTTCTATTAGAGACAAATAACACGAGGAGACTAGAGAAAACGCGCAATCATCAGCGAGCACAGAGAAGAAACACTACTTGAAGGACCAGTGTTTTGGATTTAGTGGCATCTAGCCGTGTAGTTGCATATTGCAACTACCTCCCTTCACCCTCTTCTTCCAAGTGTGTAGGAGAAAGTACAGTGGCTGCAGTAAAAGCCAGCGCCCCTATCTTGAGCCAGTGATTGGCTACTGTAGAAACATGGCAGTTCAACATAGGGGAATCATTGGAAGGCGAAGTGCCGTCTCTAGATAACAACAGCTTATAACGAAAATAGATCCTCCTAAATGTTACACAGTGGCCCTTTAAATGATCTGTCTTTATCAGTGAGGAGCAGCCTCTTTGTGTTCTTGAAGGTGAAGGGGCGTTGTCAAGTAAATACTTTGTTGTGCATGCATTACACTGCTTCCTAACTGGAAGTGAGTAAATTCTAGCAGCATGTAAAAATGTCCAGATATACTACAAGTGCTTTTGTTAGCCTTGTTCCTACATTGTAGAGAGGGCAGTTATTCAAATCAGTCATTTCTGGCAGAAAGCGAACCTCTCCCATGTACCCATGTTGACTGCTGACCTGTCTCTCCTAGCCAGTCCTCCACGCTTTGTTTTAGCAGGTTGGAGGTGTCTTAAATTGCATTCATAATCTTAAATTTAACGTGTTGAAAGCTGCAGAACCCTAGAGGACTCAATGTGTATGATTAATTCCAGCTGGAAGGAGATTATGATTTAAGAATAAAACCTCTTATAAATATTGCATTTTTGTTGCCTTTAGAACATTTCCAGAATATACACTTTTTGTGAAAATGCTGTGAGGATTGTAAGCTGTAGAGGTTCCACAGTGTTAAAACTATGCCTGTTTTTCACAGAACCCACTGTAGGGACCCTGTAGCTCTCTCCTGTGGTCACTCAGTGGAACTACATAGATACCAGCTGTGTTCAGCTGTACAAGGCAGATTTATGGGTGTGGAAAATGGGGCACTGAGGGGGTGAATGATTCATCCTTCAGCAGTGAGCGTGTGTGTATGTAGACTTCATGTGTATGGGTATGTGTTTTGGTTCAGTGTGTGTGAAGAGGCCAAGTGTGTTCCTCCCACACACTTCTTCACTGCTCTTCTCCCTGATCCTGTTATTTTACTTTTACCTGATTCCACTTATTCATTTCTGTTGCCATTGAGCTGTTCCTCTGGTTCTTATAAGCTGTGGAAAAAAAATAATTTGATGTTATTTTAAATTAAACATATTTAGGGAAATACATTAATAATCTTGATTTTCTTACCCAGCGTCAGATGAGAAGATCAAGAGCAGTATCGATCCTCTTATCTAGCAGATATCCCAAAATGCCAAACTTTTCCTTGAAGCAGGTTTTATTGAAAGAATAAAACAAGAGCGGCAAACTGTCTGTCTCTGTTTTAGTCTTGCCTTCCCAGAGAAAGTTTCATGAACCCTTGACTGTTTCTCTGTGTCGTTCTGCTGCATGTATTGTGCCTTGCTTAAAGGCACTAACAGTAGATTGTAGTTTTTGAAGGAGGGCACACTGTAAAAAAAAATTCAAAGACTCAACATGTCTTGCCAAAATAACTGTTGAAACAGATTTGTGTTGCAGAAAGCTGAAACCATTGGCAGAAAATAATGAAGCGCATTTTCTTTTAGTTCTGTACTTGAGTAGACAGAGGTGCTTTACTTGAATATTTCCATTTTATGCTACTTTGTACTCACCTGTTTGAGGGAAATATGCTACTTTTAGCAAAATTAGTAAAAAAAAAAAGTCAATACTTTCATATACTGTAAATACATTTTACTGATCATGCTTTAAGTGTTGAATGGGATGTACTTTAAGTACTTCTATAGGACTTTTACTCTGTAGTATTGGTACCTGTACTTAAGTAATGTGTATGGATACCTCTTCCTCCCCTAGGTGAAGTAATCTCGCACGCACGCACGCACGCATGTGACGCTAAGATGTTCATCACAGCTTTTAGCTTCAGTGTGGTTCATCAGACAGATGAATGACAGACGTAATCAGACAGACGTAATCACTGAAATGGATTTGAATGTACAGTCAGTCAGTTTGCTCTGCAGGCCATTACACCGGAGTGGTGAACTCTCTCCACATGATCGCTCATGTGACAAAGCCAGATCTAAAAGTGCACCAAGCTCTGACTGCATGAATGCATGGGAATGTTGCGATTATGTAAGCTTTCTGCATCTTTTATGGTAGAAAGGCTTTTTCTGTGTCACTGAATATCTGAGTACATATGTGGATGTACAGGAAGTCAGTTTCTATATGGATGTCCACTTTCTGTTATTCTTATGTTCTGCATCCAGCTGCTGATTCCGGCGAACCGACCACACTGAAGCTAAAAGCTGTGATGAACATCTTAGCGTCACATGCGTGCGTGCGTGCGTGCGTCCGTCATATCTACCTTACACCGCTGAACTGAAAAACACTTAAATAAAGCACTCTGAAGTTTTAGGAGGGCTGCTGAACAGTGGAGTCAGCTGATGATACTGTCCCCCATTCAGTGTAAATATTGTAGAAAGGCGTGTGTGTCAGGATCACCTGTAGTATTTCTAGTGAAGAATCAGACTGAGCTCCTGACATCAGGAAGGTCTAGAAGCAGTCATGATCTCTCAGCTCCAGTATCAGCTTGTCTAACTCTCCTGGTCTTGACACTTTTTCCTCCTCAGCAGTCAGGGAGTAGTTATGGCCCGAGAGGGAGAGGTGTTTTAGAGCTGTTGTGGTTCTTCTTAGGTTAATGTGCTGTTGCCGTCTCAGTCTAACACTGTCTTGTTGTTGTTGTTGTTGTTGTTGTTGTTGTGTTTGTTGCAGTGTTCCTGCGGAGCCACAAGAGTCTGGAGTCTGTTGATCCTCAGTTCACCATGAGGAGAAAGATGGAGCAGCTGCGAGAGGAACTGGAGCTTATGGAGCAGCTGCGAGATGTGAGACACTCTTCCCTCATCATTATTATCAATCATTAGAGTGTATGATTACAGGAAAATTCTGTCATTTCGGAGTTCTGTCCACCAGTTAAATTGGTTATGACAACAACGTATTCACCACGCTTCTTTCTGAAATATGACGATGTGACATCAAGACAGCCGAAACCAACAGATGATCACACAAAAAAAGAAACACATATTTATTATATTACACAATATTTCAATCTGGAGGCTGTGGGGACTTTACCGTGCTGGAGGTCCAGTATTGATGCGTTTTACATCAACGGGCAATATCTTTGTCTATGTGGCAGTGCAACTCTTGCGTCATTTCCTGTTTGTGCAAAACTGTTAAAAACATTACTGTATTATACAATAACTGGAATAAAACTGTGCATTGAGAGGTATTCGAGTACACAATACAGTATTGCAAACTATTGTTGTAGATTTTATGGACTGCCATTGTGCTACCTGTTTATATTGTTGTTTACTCCTCAGAGCATCGAGAGCAGACTGAAGGTTGTCCTTCCTGAGGACCTTGGGTCATCTCTGATGGACGGCGTTGTGCTCTGCCATCTGGCCAATCACATTCGCCCGCGCTCTGTCGCCAGCATCCACGTTCCCTCGCCTGCAGTGGTACGTCTCAGACTGTCAGCCTGACCTCTGACCTTTCCCTGAGATTAAGACTAAGTGCATAAAGTCTAACACTCCAGAGCTTTTTATATAGGATTTCTTTATCTTTATCTCTTTCTCTGCTATCTTTAAACAAGTTGCTCCTAAAACTGCCGATCAGGAAAATGTAAAAATAAATTCTGATAAGTTTAGTTTAGGAAGAGAACACTCTGTATGAATCAGTATTTGTGTGACTCTGTGCTTCCAGCCCAAACTCAGCATGGCCAAGTGTCGGAGAAATGTGGAGAACTTCCTGGATGCCTGCAGAAAAATTGGTGTACCGGAGGTAAGAAAAGGCCACTATACAATAACCCCCACCCTGTTAATGCTCTGACAGCAGTTGCGCCTCTATGAACTGGGGGTCGTATTCAAGTTTCTGCTCCAAAACCCACCACCAGTAAATATTCTGATATGATATGATACACTGAAGACTTCTGTTGAAAACTTTTGGCAAACTGAAAGATCTTCTATGCTAAATGTCAATTAGAACATGTTTATTGGAATTGATGTAAATGGTGTAGACCACACTGTCACAGCACAAGTTTGAGCTTTCCATCCTAAAGAGTTGTTCTTGTTAAATCAGCTATTGCTGAAGACACGCAGCTCATGACAGTTATGGTACTTTAAAACCCTTGGCACACGACTTCTCAGTGCTAACATAAACTAGTCAAATCTGATCCCATTGATCTGATACCAATCTCGTTTAGATTCAGTGTGACTGACTATTCCCAAGGATTTCATCATCTCAGATGTCTACCGAAAATATACCTCCATGAGTGTGTGTAAGGGATGGGACGATATACGATAAGTATTTTGAGACTATTTCGTGTTATCGAGATAATCATCAATATTCTCAGAAGTAACTTGAAAGAAGCTGTCTAGCTCGCTAATTTACAGTCCAATATTGATTTCCTGATTTATTTGTGAATTATCACAAGGGGGAGCCTACATCATTCCAAAAACCTAACCCTGTCACCATGGCTGAAGGCTTCCCCATTGTATCCCCACAACAAAGTTAAACCAAATGTGTAGAAATACTCCAGATTGCAAACTAAAGAATGACAAGGAGATAAGGTGCCTATCTGAGGTGTCCTATCTGTGGTGTAACCACCAAAGTATTTTTCTTAACAAAACATAAGGTAAAGTGTATTTTTGATAATTATCGCGATAATATTGTGAATTGCAATCGTTTTGGCCATGTTCATTGTGACATGAAATATGTTTGTCGTGCCATTCCTAGTCCCTATTCTAGGGAAGAAGGTACTCGTCCTAACAATCATAAAAATTATATTCCTTCAGTATTACAGTAATCCAGTGATAGTTGATAGTCCAGTGAACCATGGGTACACTGCAAAGAGGAGCTTCTAACAACTAATTCAGAAGACTTTTAATGGTGCTAGTTGGTAAAAAATCGTGGCTAAAAAAATGGGTTCAAGTTGTTGCCCACAACTAACTCACTGAATCCAACGTTATACTTCCTGATTACATTTCCAAAGCATCAATCAGTTGTTATACTGGTTTGTTGTTTATTAATCTATGGAAAGCTGTGGTTCTATGGCATAACCAGAGTGACTAAACAAACTACACAACCCCTCTGCAGCTGAAAGACATTCTGTTAGTCAGTCCAGGGATACCCAACCTGAAAACACCCCCAGTTCATATACAGATATACAGATAATGTAAAAGGAACCGTGAAGGTGTCCTGCAAAATAACTCTTCAGTCTCTTGAACATTATATTTGCTGGTTCTGAGGAATCAATTTGTTCACATGAATGACAATTAACATCAACATTAACAGCTGCATTATCTTCTAATTTATGTGGGTAAGTGAGGTACAAACTGCAGTTGAGGCTTTTTGCAGGACACCAATGTAAACCAGATCTGGGAGGAAGGCTGATGATATGTTTTTAACAGCAGCAGATCTAAACCTTTTTGTCAGCTGATCCTCCTGAGATCAGAACTGACCCAAATTATGTTTCTGTCTCTGAAATTCAAACTTGAGAACCCCTCAGCATTTTCCCAGGACTGGTTTAATGTTCCGACTTCCCTCCTGTTTGTTCTCATGCCTTTTAATGGGGGTTGTTAATGTCAACATTTAATATTGAATCATCACCGCTGTCATCGCTGCCTGTGGCTTCAGCTTCCTCCATCATGACAGAAGAACAAAGCAGCTTCAGTCTGAAACAGAGCTGTTCTGGGTACGTGTGCGTGTGCATGTGTGTGTGTGTGTGAGAGAGAGAAACTGCACATTTCCCGAAATTTCTAACTATTCCTGTAAAATGACAATAGGAATCAACAGAAAAAGTGTTTTTAACACTTACAGTATAGATACAGGGGCATCAGTGGTAGGAGACATACACTTTGTGGTTATTACGTTTTTAGGTCACAATTAAAAGAACATTCCGAGAGCTTCTTATTTCATAACAGTGCAGTATTTCCTGTTGAAACCAGATGAATAGGGAGAGAAACACACAGATGGCACTAAGAGACACAGGTAGTTTAACTGGTTAAAAAGGGACTGTTTAATCACACTGACAGCTGGTTGCTGGGTCTACAATGATAACATCATTTTGTTCATACAAAAAAAAAGTAAGGTCCTGAAAGAGAGAAACTATTATTCATTCTAATTCTGAGCCGTTTACCTGTACTGACTGGTTGACCTTTGACCTCCGTCTCTGCTGTTGCTTGCTGACTGTTTACAGCCACTGTGTGGATGTTGCTAGCTAGCAGGCTACCTGTAGCCTGAATGCTGACTATGCTTCTGCAAGCTAACGTGCTAAAAGCTTCACCTAGCTAAAGAGCTACTAGCTTCTGTGCTGGCCTGCTGCGTTGTTGGCTAAATGCGCTGGCTCTCCCATCAGCCACTTCACTCCTCATTACGGTCTGCTTACTGGGAGAGAAGAGAGCTCCCCTTTCAGAAACTTTCCTCATCCTCTCAGTAAGCATCCCTGCTCGTTGCCATGGTAATGCCTGCCTGCCCGCCCCCATCCCTCCTCACCCTCACCAGCTCACACTCTTGTCTGTGACCTTTGACCTTGTGTCCATTGGTTAACCCCCTGCCTTTTCTTTCTCTTTTTACTTTCTGGCTGGATCGCACCATCCTCTTTTTCCTCTTCTCTCTCCTCCTCTCAACTTCATCAACGTTTCCTGTTTTGTATATTCTTTCACATTTCATATTTACGTTTTCATTTTCTTCTCGGTGATTTCAAACTGCCTCTGAACTTTGGTTTTGGTTTTTCATTAATTTCTCTTGTCATCATCCTCTTCATCACATATCATGTCCTCTTTTTTCCTCTCTTGGTTTAACGTTTTTGCACTTTACATACAACTTTTCTTCCTTCCTCCTCCCATCTTTATTCCATCTTCATTTCCTAATTTTTCCCTTATCCTCCCCTCATTTCCCACATCCCTTATTTCATACTTCCTCCTTACTTCCCTTGTTTCCACCTCTTCCTTATTCCCTGGTTATTTTCTCTATGCCACTTTCATCCTTCTTCCTTCTTTCTTTCCTTTCTTCCTTCCTTTGTTATTTTATTCCCACCTCCTGCCCTTTGTTTGACCCTCCCACCCTTCCCTTTTTTCCGTCTTTCTAACGGGGGCGCCAGTCTTCCCTCTGTTCACCTTATGACATCATCCAGTGCCGCCTGCAGCCGGTTCGCGCCACAGTTGAGGCGCTGGTTGCCTTGGATACAACCTCTCTGGACAGGAAACAGGAAAAGGCAATCGCGACTCCAAACCCCACCTCCTCTGGGGGGTCAAAGACTCCCTCATTGGTTTCTGTTACCACTCAAACTCCGCCTGCTGCATGGCAAATCTGGGACCTTATTGGCTCAAGCCTGCTTCACGTCCTCTGCCTAGTTCTGCTATTCTTGGCCTATAGTTGGAGTGAGCTAACGTAACCGTTCCTGTCCGTCACCTGCCAGCTCCGTCCTACTTCTGCCCAGTCTAGTCCTCTTTATTTTTGCTGCGTTTATGTCACATGGGGAAAAAACCACATGCAAAAATAAACTACTGTTGATGTTCGTTAGTGTCAACATTTTTGTGAGCTCATAAACTTTACTGCACATCAACAAATATAGTATAGTGATTCATTAAAGAGTAACTACATCCAAAAATGTTACTTTTCTCAGATATAATACAACAGTACTTCTCATTTTGTTAAGAGTTCCCAGTGGATAAACACATGGGCCCAGTAAGACATGTCTTTAGTATAAAAAGATTATATGCTCAGTATAAAAAAAGGATTTGTGGAGGCATAGCCAATGATTTTTGCAAGATTATGATCAGGTCCATAATGACATATAAAAGATGGACGTTGTGTCCCCACTTCCTCCCACTGTACAAAAATGAAGCCAAAATATCCTGGATACAGCTGCTGCCATCTTTCACCACTCTGAGCCAGAGTCTGCGATGTAGCGGTCGGGGTCACTGCCGCAGTATGGAAGTCCCGCCCATATCCTTGGCAGACTTAATCGTGAGCATGACTCAGTTGTCATGACAATCAATCATGACAGGAAACCCCCTTTTTAGCTTCAAATAATAGAAAAATGAACACTTGAACATGGATCAGCCTGATAAGTTTTACCTAAAATGACAGAAACCCTCTTTGGTCAAATTTATTTGACTTGTACTTTGATTTTGTTTTGTGTTTGTCCCTTCTGCTAACATGGGGGCAGCAGGCTTTATATACTGCAGTCAGGTACCAGAGGGCGAAAGAGATGTTTTGGCCTCACTTTAGGAGAACTGTCATTTTATCCATTTTTATATATGTATGTTTCAGAGCTAGACTTCCCAAACACTGGTAGGAAACGCCCTAGCCAAGCTACAAGACCCACATAGAAATTCTCTCAAGGAGACATAAATGCTCCTCTAGCGGCTGTTAAAGCTCCATCACACTCCCTGTGTTTGGGACATGAAAGCCTGACAGTAGTTGCTCATTGCAGGTCAGCTCTGACTAAAAGAGGCCGAGCAAAATATAAGGGTGTACTTACTCTTTATGTTATACACTAAACCAGTGAAAATTCAAAAACTACTTTCATGACACTTCAATTGTCCCGTCTGGGATTAATAAAATTGATATAATCTAATCACCAGAACACAAAATCATCAGTTCATCCCATGTGGTATGAATGCACCTCTCCTCAACTTCTGCTCCTTGTTTTTTTCTTCTTCTTGCCCTTTTAGGAAAAACAACTCACAGACGTGTTTGTGTCTTTGCAATAAACAGAGACTGAAAGCAGGACATGTGGAACAGCAGGTTACTTAAAGTCACTCATGTCTTATGAACATGCTGTACAGCAGGGATAATTTGATCTGTGCAGGAATGAGAGGACTCATAACACTAGGATCAAATTCTTGTTTTGTTCATCTGTTAAAAACTATGAAAAAACAAAAACATGAGGCATATTAACACCATGTTGGAAGAAGAAAATGAAAAATTGTGCCAGTATTGATGTCTCCTTGAAAAAACAAATTCAGTGTTTGTGTTCCGATTTTTTATGTATTTCTATATTAATACTGTGCACAGTATACAGTTTGCTGAAATGTACCAACAGCCATTTGGCACCATCATGGAAGTCTAATGAACTAGTAACTATAACTGGCTATAGGCAGTCTTTAAGAAATTATAACAACTGGGTGTCAATCCATTTAGTAATTCTTTAAACAAAAATAAATGGTTTTAAATTGTTGCCAGTGTAGATTATGATGACTGGCTGTGTTTACATGCGCATGATATAAAAAAAATCACAGTAGTCACAAGTCACAAGAAAGTCTGAAGTCAGTACACTCAAGTCTGAAATTTGTGAAATTTTGGTATCATATATGTGTGAAATTTTGGTATCATATATGTCAACTGGTGCTCAGCAACATAACATCAGTTCTTCATGGCTACTGCAACTTGACTCGATGCTGCTGGATCGGAATAAATAGCGTTAACGTTGTTGATTCAGGAAATTAATTGATCGGCGGCACACTTATTAAATAACATACTTTTTATTTATTGGGACCTGGGGGAAGGTATTAAGTATTTTTGAGTCACAAGTCCAACTGATGTCAAGAGTCATTGGTTTTGAAATCCAAGTGGATTTGCAGGCCTGTTTTAATTTTGTCAAGTGGAGTCTGAAGTCATCAAATTTGGGACTCCATTCTGATTCAAGTTCAATTCATGTGACTCCAGTCAACAGCCCTGATACTAAGCCACATAAATTGCTGAAGATACACCCTCCACATTATTTTTCTGTGTGACTGGTCCCTTGCGGCTGCATCTGCAGCGATGCTTCACTCGAGAGTCGAGGTCTTGTCCATTCTCACCGCGAGACAAAGGCATCTTCCAGCAAAAGAGGACAGTGAAAGGATCTGTTGGTAGTCATATCCACATATTTCACTACAGTTTAAACTTTTCAAACCTTTTCAAAGTAAAAGCACTGTTGTAATCTTTTATTTAACATGACTTCACTTTTGAAAGGATCTCCAGAAGTGAGCGGGTTGAAGGGCGGTATCTTTCCTCTGCTCTCTCTCTCTCTCTCGCTCTCGCTGTCTCTCTCTCTCTCTTTCTGTCTCGCTCGCGTTCTCTCAGGTAAACAAACCAACCACACAAGCTTTCTGATTACCACTCTTCAGATTTACGTTTAAACTATATCGCATTGTAAATTAAATGATAGGAACATTTAGATTGTTCGTGCACATTATTCAGGGCAAAAGTGTATAGGGAAAGATAGGGCTGGTAGCAGCAGCAGCTCTGCAGCAGCTGACACGCTCTTGATCTGAACGCCACAGGTGTGGGAGATGCCACACGCTGCTGGTTTTTTACACAAACGTTTGGGAAGTCGTCTCTTTGGAAAAGGGCAGGTGATTTGATGAACCCATCTATCACTGTCTATCACGGGCAAACTTCAACCAATCAGATGGTAAATGGACTGTACTTGTATAGCGCCTTTCTAGTCTTCCGATGACATGGCACATTCGCCCATTCACGCACATTCGCCCATTCACACACATTGGGAAAAACCTTCAGTACTAATCTTTGCTCTTCTTTCAATGAAGAAATGCTCTCCAGTTCTGATCAAATTGATGCTAACAACATCTACGCTAACCTCTTTAGCAGCCCTCATTGTTGTTATCAAGCCAAAATTACTTCCCACAGACCCAGACCCAGATTGGTCTGATCCACTGTGGTTGGACACAAACACATAGCTTAAAGACTGGCAAGATGGATTCTTACGTGATTGTGATTTTGCGAGTCCAGCTGCCTGGCAGTGTTACAGAATTGGACCAGAATGAACTAACGTTTGTTAGACGGTTAACTTAACAAATACTGTGGTTGGCCAACAAACAATCTAAATAAAATATTGAAATGGGTCCTTTAGATGTTGGTCAGACAGAAATTATCCATGCCCACCAAATTATTCTGAGAACGCTGTGTTCTTTACTGCTTTAAAGAATTCAATCAGAAGTTCTGAAGACCTTCAATATGGCTGCCAAATGGTAATGCTGAAGCTGCCGTTTTATCACTGATGCACTAAAAACATGGTTTTCAGTGATGCAAACAATTCAATTCAATTCAATTCAATTTTATTTGTATAGCGCCAATTCATAACAGAAGTTATCTCAGGACACTTTTCAAATAGAGCAGGTCTAGACCGAACTCTTTAACATTAATTACAGAGACCCAACAGTACCACCATGAGCAAGCACTTGGCGACAAGGGCAAGGAAAAACTGCCTGTTAAAAGGCAGAAACCTAGGACAGATCCTCCGGCTCTAGGTGGGTGGTCGTCTGTCTCGACCAGTTGGGGTGAGAGAGAGAGAGAGAGAGAGAGAGAGAGAGCGACAGACAGACAGACAGGTGCACAGCAACAACAGTATTGGCAATGGCAGTCAAGCAGGACCATGGCAGGAGGCTCCACCAGGATCCATGAGAACCTGCGAGACGAGAAAGCACAAGAACTCCGGGGAAGAAGTGGAGTTAGTAACATGCATTAAAGGGACATGAATGAGTGCAGAAAGAGAGAGGAAGAGAGTAGCTCAGTGCACCATGGGAAATCCCCCCGATAGTCTAGGCCTATAGCAGCATAACTAAGGGATGGTTCAGGACTCACCTGATCCAGCCCTAACTATAAGCTTTATCAAAGAGGAATGTCTTAAGCCTACTCTTGAATGTGGTGAGGGTGTCTGCCTCCCGAACCACAACTGGAAGCTGGTTCCACAGGAGAGGAGCTTGGTAACTGAAGGCTCTGGCTCCTGTTCTACTTTTAGAGACTATAGGAACCACAAGTAGCCCAGCATTCAGAGAACGTAGTGTTCTAGTGGGGTAATAGGGTACTATGAGCTCTTTAAGATATGAAGGGGCCTGACCATGAAGAGCTTTATAGGTGAGGAGGAGGATTTTAAATTCAATTCTACATTTTATAGGGAGCCAATGCAGAGTAGCTAGTACAGGAGAGATGTGATCTCTTTTTCTAGTTCCTGTCAGTACTCGTGCTGCAGCGTTCTGAATTAATTGGAGCGTTTTAATGGACTTATTGGGGCAACCTGATAATAAAGAGTTGCAGTAATCCAGCCTTGAAGTAACAAATGCATGGATTAGTTTTTCTGCATCTGTCTGTGATAGTATGTGTCTAATTTTTCTAATATTACGTAAATGAAAGAAGGCAGTCCTAGAGGTCTGCTTTATGTGGGAGTTAAATGACAAATCCTGATCAAAGATAACTCCAAGATTCCTGACAGTGGTGCTAGAGGCCAAGTTAATGCCATCTAGAGTGACTATATCTTTAGACAATGAGTCTCTAAGGTTTTTGGGGCCAAGAACAAGAATTTCGGTTTTTTCTGAGTTTAACATCAGAAAATTGCAGGTCATCCAGGATTTTATGTCCTTAAGACATGTTTGTAATTTAGATAATTGATTAATTTCATTGGGTTTGATTGATAGATATAACTGCGTATCATCTGCATAACAGTGAAAGTTAATGGAGTGATTCCTAATAATGTTGCCTAAAGGGAGCATATATAAAGTAAATAGTATTGGTCCAAGTACAGAACCTTGTGGAACTCCATGACTAACTTTAGTATTTATGGAGGATTCATCGTTAACATGTACAAACTGAGAACGATCTGATAAGTATGACTTAAACCAGGTTAGGGCAGTTCCTTTAATGCCAATTTGATGCTCAAGTCTCTGTAAAAGAATATCATGGTCAATGGTGTCAAATGCAGCACTAAGATCTAATAATACAAGTACAGAGACAAGTCCATTGTCAGAAGCAGTCAGAAGGTCATTATTAACTTTAACCAGAGCTGTCTCTGTGCTATGATGAACTCTAAATCCTGACTGAAAATCCTCAAATAAACTATTGTTATGTAGAAAGTCACACAACTCTTTGGCGACTACTTTCTCCAGAATCTTAGAGAGGAAGGGGAGGTTAGAAATCGGTCTATAGTTGGCTAAAACCCCTGGGTCAAGAGTGGACTTTTTAAGAAGGGGTTTAATTACAGCTACTTTAAAGGACTGTGGTACATATCCTGATAATAAAGAAAGATTAATCATATCCAGTAAAGAAGTGCCAATTAAGGGAACAACTTCTTTAAGCAGCCTAGTTGGGATCGGGTCTAACAGACAGGTTGATGGCTTCGATGAAGAAATGATTGAAGTTAACTGATGAAGATCGATAGCAGAAAAACAGTCTAAATATACATCTAAGTTTACATTGACAGAAGTCCCTGAACTTGGAGAGCCACTGATAACTGTTGATGGCAGTTGGTGATTAATTTTTTCTCTAATAGTAATAATTTTATTATAGAAGAAGCTCATGAAGTCATTGCTACTTAAGTTTATGGGGATATGTGGCTCAATAGAGCTGTGACTCTCTGTCAGCCTGGCTACAGTGCTGAAGAGGAACCTAGGGTTGTTCTTATTTTCTTCTATTAGTGCTGAGTAATAGGCTCCTCTGGCATTACGGAGGGCCTTTCTATAAATCTTAAGATCATCTTGCCAATTTGAGCGATATTCTGATAATTTGGAAGAGCGCCATTTCCTTTCAGATTTCCTAGCTATTTGCTTTAACTGGCGGGTTTGGTGGTTATACCAAGGTGCTAGTCTCCTATGTTTTAATAATTTCCTTTTTATAGGAGCGATAGAGTCTAATGTTGATCGTAGTGAGCCTGTAGCACTATCGACAAGATTATCAATTTCAGAGGGACTAAAGTTGTTATAGGACTCTGTTAAATTCAGACATGGCATTGAATTAAACACTGAAGGAATCTCCTCCTTAAATTTAGCTACAGCACTGTCAGATAGACATCTGCTGTAGGAAGTTTTGCCTAATGGCTTATAATCTAATAGTATGAATTCAAAAGTTACTAAATAATGGTCAGATAGGAAAGGATTATGTGGGAAGACTATTAAATGTTCAATATCAATGCCATAGGATAAAACAAGGTCAAGAGTGTGATTAAAACAATGAGTTGGTTTATTTACACTCTGACAGAAGCCAATTGAGTCTATTAATGATATAAATGCATTACTAAGGCTGTCATTGTCAACATCCACATGAATATTAAAATCACCTACAATAATTACTTTATCTGATTTAAGGACTAAGCTTGATAGAAACTCTGAAAATTCAGATATAAAATCAGAGTACGGTCCAGGAGCGCGGTACACTATAACAAAAGCAGCTTTGTAAGGACCATGATTTAAAATGTGTAGTTTCAGGGTGACTACAGTTGATGACTTGAAGGTGGATTTTCGTGGTTGTTCCAATATTTCAGATAAGCACATGATTCCTGAATGGAGGTGTTTAGTGGCTCACCATTATAAAACTGCACAAACACTATAATTCTTTTCAAATGTGTGACTATCAAGTGGTGAGGAACAAACTGAAGCCATATTACAATAGTTATTGATTATTTAAGACAGTTAGATGTTTTTTTTTAGAATTTTGATTTGCCTGAGTTATTTAAAATGGTTATTTGAGTATATTTTGAAACTTAAAAAAATGTGTATTTTAGTTATACATTTATTTTTTGTCCTGCACCGAAATGAGATGACTTTTAATGTACATCAACTACTACTGTATCCTAATATGCAATCTGACTGTTTCTGGAGAACATTTGAAGGGCTAGATAGACACTAGATGAGCTTATGAAGTTAGATATATCTTAGTCTTGCGGTTTGATACACAGAGGATTAGAATGTCGCTCTGTTTGTAACCTTGAGAGGATTTAAATACTGAGGAATGTGGATATTTGCTATGCCCACTGCAACTTTCAAAAACATAATAATTGCCTGGCCATGTGAGCAGCTGATTGGCTGATGGATTAATTCACAGAAACTAAATTAATACAGATGTGTTGGCCTTTAATTATTGGTGTCAAAAGAAAATTTTATTTATGATATACAGAACACTAACCAGTGTAAGCTGAGTAACTACAATGTTCATTTTTGTTACTGTGAATGTGAATTACTCATGTGTTCTGTGAATTAATTCTTGCAGTAACTTTCAGTTGTTGACACATTCTCTGCACAGATTTTCTAACTTTGTGCTGATGTGAATGGATTTCATGTATGATATTTGTTAAAGACTGAGGTAATAAATGCAGTTAAGGGGGGGATGTCTGTTCTACGGAGTCATTGTTTGAGCCGACTTCAGGTGAAAGCTTGAGGACATGCTACCCACTGTCTTTTTAAACGTCATAACATAAAGCACCTTGTGTAACTCAAGTGTATGAAATGTGCTATATGAATAAACTTGCCACGCTTTAAAGAAATTTAATTTTATGCTAATTTGCTTTCTTGCTGCGAAATAGCTGAGAAGATGGATACCACTCTTGTATCTTGCCGTTAAATATGAAGCTACAGCCAGCAGACGGTTAGCATCCTGCACATAACCCCTTTAACTCTAGGTGGAACACAGGAAAGTGTTAATTAGTAACTTTTAGAGGTGATTGTTGTTTGTTTTTATTTTATTTATTTTTTTACCTTTGGACAGAGCCAGGCCACCTGTTTCCAGTATTAATGCTAAGCTAAGCTAACCGTCTGCTGGCTGTAGGTTCATATTTAATGTACAGACATGAAAGGGGTATTTATATTCTCATCTAACTCTCGGCCCGAAAGCAAATCAGCATGAATGCCAAACTGTTCCTTTCACAACATAATCCAGAACTCTACAGCACTGATTCCCAACCTTTTTCCTTAAGGGACCCTTGTTCATTGAGTAAACTGACTAAGTGACATATTTTATGGATATTTTACATTATATCCAATGCATAACAATAACTGTAGAGAACAACTGATAAACTGTACAATGAACCCAAACAGTGAACACAATATCTGCAGGATGTTTGTGTAAAATGAGAGATTTGGATGATTTTTTGTAACATTCACACACACTTAATCACCTTCTTTTTTGACAAATACAGTGTTCCTGAAACTTGGCCATTGTTCTAGTAGCTCTTTGGTTGTTTTAACAGCATATTTTTCTAATGCACAATGAGCCTTCACAAAGAGTCAATATAGCTTGTGTTCAGGTCTTCAAAGCTTAGCTTTCCCATTCCTTCCAAGGAGAAACTACAGGGGCCATGAAATATTCAATTTTATATTCCATTTCTGCCAGTAGATTCACCTAAATGTTGCACACCACAGTTAAATTAAAAAAAACTATCTATCTTTGAAAATAACATTTTCATTTAGTTTTCTTCACAGAAATGCAAATGTGTATAATATTATAAAAAATAAAAAAAACTCTTGGGGTGGTATCTGTGTCATCCTCAAGCTCGGGTCCTCTACCAGAGGCCTGGGAGTTTGAGGGTTCTGCGCAGTATCTTAGCTGTTCCTAGGACTGTGCTCTTCTGGGCTGAGGCTTCTGAGGTTGTTCCTGGGATCTGTTGGAGCCACTCCCCCAGTTTGGGGGTCACTGCCCCGAGCGCTCCTACTACCACGGGGATCACGCTCGCCTTGACCTTCCACATCTGCTCCAGCTGTTCTTTCAACCCTTGGTACTTTTCAACCTTTTTGTGTTCCTTCTTTCTGATGTTGGCGTCTGCTGGTATGACCACATCTATCACCACCGCTTTCTTCTGCTCCTTGTCTACCACCACTATGTCTGGTTGGTTGGCCAGGACCTGTTTGTCAGTCTGGAAGCTGAAGTCCCACAGCACCTTGGCCCTGTTGTTCTCAGCCACCTTCTGTGGTGCGGCCCATTGGGATTTGGGTACTTCTATTCCATACTGGGTACAGATGTTCCTGTACACTATTCCAGCCACTTGGTTATGTCTTTCCATGTATGCTGATCCGGCTAGCATCTTACACCCTGCTACTATGTGCTGGACTGTCTCAGGGGCATCTTTGCATAGTCTGCACCTTGGGTCAGATCTACTCTTGTAGATCTTGGCCTCTGTGGCTCTTGTACCTAGGGCCAGTTCTTGTGCTGCCATGATCAGTGCCTCTATGCTGTCTCTGAGTCCAGCCTTTTCCAGCCATTGGCAGGTCTTCTCGATATCAGCCACTTCTTCAATTTGGCGGTGGTACATGCCATGTAGGGGCTTGTCCCTCCAGGTTGTCTGCTCCTCTTCCTCCGCACTCTTATTGGGTTTCTGTTGCCTGAGACATTCACTTAGCAGTTCATCCTTTGTGGCCATTTTTCTGATGTACTCTTGGATTTTTGATGTTTCATCCTGGATAGTGGCTTTGATGCTCACTAGTCCTCGGCCTCCCTCTTTCCGCTTAGCGTACAGTCTCAGGGTGCTGGATTTGGGGTGAAACCCTCCGTGCATTGTGAGGAGCTTTCTTGTCTTGATATCTGTGGCTTCTATCTCCTCCTTTGGCCAGCTTATGATCCCAGCAGGGTATCTGATGACCTGCCATTCAGCTGACTTTTCAGGACCTGCCTTACTCTCTCTGGAGGTATTTGGTTGTGGTTGACTTCCTTGCGGCTTCCTCATGGTTTCCATTAGCCTGTGGGATACCAAGGTACTTGTAGCTGTCTTGGATATCACCTATGTTGCCCTCTGGTAGGTCAACCCCTTCAGTTCTGATCATCTTGCCTCTCTTTGAGACTATCCGGCCGCACTTGTCAAATCCGAATGACATCCGACCAGTATCTGGTGCTTGGCTCCTCTGGTGTTGCTACCAATTCCCTTCTGAGCCCCGCTCATGTATTGAGCTACGTGCTTACTCGTCTTAGCCGCGATGATGCCTGACAGGGCCTTCCATGTTGTGGAGAGACAGGTTATTGGCCGGTGGCTGGATGGGATGGGTCCCTTCTTAGGGTCCTTCAGGATTAGGACCATCCTGCCCTGGGTTAGCCACTCTGGGTGGCCCACCCAGGAAATAACATGAACCAGCTGCTAAGGGATGTTCATCTGTGCTGCTAGGCGTTCATGGAGTGCTGTTAGCTTCTTCAGCCAGTAGGCATGGATCATATTGGGGCCTGGTGGTGTCCAGCCCTTCATCTTTGACACTCTTTCTTGGATGTCTGCCATTGAGATGGTTACTGGTTCTTGTTCTGGCAGGTTGCTGTGGTCTGCTCTTAGGTCCACTAGCCATTGGGCATCTGGGTTGTGTGATGCCTCTTTTTCCCATATGGCCCTCCAGTATTCCTCCACCTCAGCTCTTGGTGGGTCTGACCTGTTGTTATTTCCTCCCTGCCACTGAGAGTACACCTTGGCTGGTTCAGTGGAGAACAACTTGTTTATTCTCCTGGCCTCTGCCTCCTTGGTGTATCTCTTCAACCGGTTGGCCAGTGCTGTTAGTTTCTGTTTGGCAGTTTCGAGTGCTTCAGGTATGGAGAGCTTAGTGTATCTCCTGGGTTTATTCACCGTGTTGCCCCTCTGCAGCTCATCCTGTATCCAAGAATTTCTAGGATTACTGTTGCTGTACTGTGTATCAGCTTATTGGTCTCAGTGATGGTTCCCATGGGGATTTTTCTTAGTGCAGCATTCACATCCACTAGCAGATCTTCTGCAGGTACTTTACAAGTCAGCTTCGGTATTCGTCGTGGGTTCCAGGTTTCTAATTGGGCCATGATCTTCATTCTCAGCTCTTGTACTGAGGCTGTTGGTATTTGTTGTGGCTTGGTACCCAACCTCTGATTGTGGGGGTGATGGTGGCATCCCCCCGCTGACCTGTCGTCCTGGCGCCCCCTTGCCATAGCATCATTGTTGTATCTTATCGATCTCTAGTTGTGATAGGAGTTTTCGATTGCAGATGTTAGAACACTGGGCTAACAGCTGTTTCGTTGTTAGCCTTGATTGTGGGTTTCGACGTAACCAATGGTCCCACATTCGTTGCATGTATCCCTTCTCTCTGGGGTTGCTCATATAGTAGCATTCTAACAGTTCCGTGTTTTCCGCCCTTGTCCATCTATGTCTTGTTCCAGTAGTAATTTCTTTCTTTCGCTAGTCAACGGGGCACAGAGTAACATGAAAAGAAATCGCTTTTTATACCACTAACAAGACTCAAAATAGCACCACACTTACAAGGTAGCATAATGAGGACCCCTATGTATAAACCACAGCATTGAGAACTTTGTAAGTGTACTTTTATTAGTTTATTAAAAAGATAGTTTAGAACAACAGTAGCGTTCGTGTATACAAGCGGGCGCTATCTTGGGAAAACAGTCAGGGGTTAGGTCATTCATGCAGATCAATGATCAAGACTTACAGCTGATGATGTGAACTAAAACAAACATAATTTGCTCAATATATCAGAAATAATCGCACCGATGTAAAACACAACTTGTCTAGTGTACTTACTCAGTGGACAACTGTCCATCTGGTCCCTCCGGTATGAGTCGCTGCCTCCAATTTATTTTCAGGACATGGAAAAAAGTACAGCTCTGTTTATCAGAGAGGGGAAATCTGTACTGACTGTACAAAACACTGCGTCTCTTGGGTGTCCCGACGCAATAGGTCCCACTCCGTGCAACACAGGCACTCCTCTTCGGTGGCCATAGCTTCACAATGTCCGCAGGTACACCACCAGTTTCCCGAAGTACGAGGCTGTGTTGCGGCATTGACTACCGGTAGCTCTCTCTCTCTCTCGTAGCCCTTTCACGGAGCTCCCGCAGCTCTTCGTCTGTGCTTTCTTCCAGCAACAGCATTTCACGCGAGATTCACTTCACATCTCCGTGGAAACGTTGCCAGAAGAAAGCACTGAGCGCATAAGAGAAGCACTGAATGCAACAGAGATTAGTGCTTCCACAGGATACACACTAAAGAGATGGCGGATTATTCAACTGAATTTGAAGACATCGACAATTTAATTCACTTTAATGGACGTCCTTATCTTTTCGAGCCGGAATATACAGACGAAGAGCTGCGGGAGCTCCGTGAAAGGGCTACGAGAGAGAGAGCTACCGGTAGTCAACGCTAAGATTTTCCCTTCTTGGAAGCAGTATGTAGCAGTGCGGACCTGGTATGAACTTGATAAAGTCTCAGTAGAAAGGATTTGTTTGCCCTTTTATTTATTTTTTCAGCAATAGTGAAGAAGAGACAGTGGGAGGTTTTGTGCATGCAGGCATTACAGAAACACATCTTACACATATAAGCATTGTGCCTAAATCCTCTGCTGCCCTTGTCCCTCTTCTGCCTCTATATCTGCTCCTTCACTCCTTACCTTTCTCCTTTCCTCCGTCTGACTCTGGTCTCCCAGGACAAGCTGTGTCTCCCTCACCACATCCTGGAGGAGAAAGGCCTGGTGAAGGTGAGCGTCACAGTCCAGGCTCTGGTGGACGAGGCCTCCTCCAAGCACACCCTCCTGACATGAGCAGCAGAGCTTCAACCAACTGACACGTACAACAAACACACACCCGAATGGAGAGGCTGACTCCATATCACATAATTCCATGACACACCTCTGTGCTCATTCTGAGTGTTTTTATTATATTTAAGGATGCTAAATGGTATTAAGGGATCAGAACCAGTCAGACATGGATTGGTTAACAAGTTCATGAGAGGAAACTGTTGGATGGAGTAGGAATACAGTTTAATGCCAAGCAGATAGACTGGTGGAAGAGCCAAAATGAACCAGCTTTTGACTGGTTCTATAGATGTTTAAGATGTTAGTTTCAGGGGGATGTGAGTGAAAATTCTTCAGGTAACCACAAGAGACACAAACTGTCAACTAAAGGGCATGATCTACAACTCCACTTTTTTCCCCCCTTTCCTTTTTTTTTTTTTTTCTGTAGAAATTCTTACACTGGCCGGTACCAAAAAATATAAAGCATTAGTAGGGCCACTGTGAATGCCTTTAAGAATAAAGTCAAAATATTTTGGGAAAAAAATCATATTATGAGAATAAAGCCGTATTTGGGCCTTTAAAAAAGGACCAATATTACAAGAAAGATTGAGATTGTTGCAGCCTAAAATGTCTGATTTCACCACAGCTTTACCAAAAAAAATGTGATGCATGAGAAACTTTTACTGTTTTTTTAACGAAAATTGGCGTTTTGCACAGGGGACTGCTGTGATTTGTGAAACTCACAGGAAACTACAATGATTGGTCAAATTTGCAGAAAAGTTGCATAGAATTCACAGGGATTGGTTGAGTTTGCATTAATTGTTGCAAAGGCAACATCACAACTTCCTGGAGGGACTAAAACATTTTCCAAGAACATTTGTAATATTAGTAGTAATTTTATTACAAAACTTCCTTATATTTGAGAATAATGCAGTAGTATTACAAGATGTGACTTTATACTTGTAATGTTATAACTTTCCTCTTCAAAAGTATGATTTGTTTTTCATAAAATGACAACTGTATTCTTGTAATATGACTTTTTTCTTGAAATAACAATTTATTCATATAATATTACATATTTCAAAATGCTGACTATTCCTAAAAATCTGCATTTTTTTAGCCCTAATACTCGTGTACAAAGATAGACGCAGGGACCTGCTGATATTTTGCAGTATTAGCTATTTTCTGGTGTTTTCCTGCTGAGCTTTCAGGTGAAGTGTGGACTGAGGATTTTAGTGTCTCACTTTCAGTTCCCTGAAGAGAATAAAACCTAAATTCTGTAAAGCCAAAAGTCTTAACATAGAGGGGGACCACTTTTAACCACAATTTCTATTTAAGATATTTATAATATAAGAGAAGCTGAGATAAGGTGTTTGAAATGTTATATACATTCAAAAAGATAAATATCCCCAAAATATTTTTCTCTAATATATTTTAGGTATATTGGTGTATGTTTTCTAAAAGTTTTACTATGACTTTGTTTGGAGCTCTCTGCATGTCCCTGAACCAGGTCTCAGTCTACATACCACTGTGGGGATACTACTCTGTTTATCAAGCCTCTCTGTTTGTTTTTTTATTTGCTCTTTTCTCACCTCTTACGGAGGGAAACGACTTCAGCAGTTAATGTTCACTTTGGATGTGGTTTCTTCATAATATTCAGTTTGCTAACAAAAAAAAGTCACAAAACAAAAGTTAAACACCAATCAATCACTATGTTCAAGTGTGTGTGTGTGTGTGTGTGTGTGTGTGTGTGTGTGTGTGTGTGTGTGTGTGTGTGTGTGTGTGTGTGTGTGTGTGTGTGTGTGTGTGTGTGCATGCGCGCGCAGGGAGGGAATTGCCAGTTGGCCTTTTGAATGATGTGGTGATGAGACCTGGTACAAACCAAGACTAAAGGGGCAGTAAGTAAATTTTGATTTTTATCGACTTCTACTGGCAGCTACAACAAATTGCAGCTTTCAGCAGCTGAAAGTGTTTTAACCTCTGAAGCTGGTTTGGTCTTTTTGTTTTAGCTGCATTCATTGATTATGACCACTAGGGGGCAGAAAATGGTGCTTTATGTGTGAGAATGATTAAACCAGATCTACAATTTTCCCCCCTTTCCTGTATCTTATGAATTTTAGTTTGAGTCATATTATGCAAGATAGCTTGTTGATTCATGATGTGTGTGTCTGTATGGACTGGACGTATATTACAGGAGGAGCAGAGGTAACTGGGGCTGCAGTTATTAATCACACATATGCCTCCTGAGCGGTGGAGCTAACCCCGCCTTCGGGCTTGAGTTGTCCCAGATTTTTCCAGGAAATTGGATTGTTAAACATATTTAAATTTTAACTGGTTATGAAACAGTCTCATTTCTTAAGGGGGCTCTCCATAAAAATGGGGAATATTTGAATTTCACTGGCTAGAAGTTAGTTTTACAAAATGTGGATGGGACTCCCCAGAGGGCATCCAAACTGTTTCGGGGGAAGCTCAGTTAGTGGGTGTGAAAAAAATATTAGTTATCAAAAGGATTTCACATGGAATTGATGGTTCAGAGATACAGTAGCGTTGGTGCATTTTACTGGTTTTCCCTGTGTCAGAAACTGATCTGAAATATTGTTTTATGTACTACTGTCAGGATACAGTAAAAGTGTCAGCATATATGACAAACAGTTGTTTTTAGAGAAATTACCTTCTGCAGCTTTAATGTGAAGAATTGTTGAAATATTTCAACATGTTAAATAAAATAAAGAGCCTGTGAATAATCTTTTCACTGGCTTAAAGTTCTTAACCAACAGTTTAGGTTTTGTCACATATTTACTTACTACCCCTGTAAAAGCCAAATCTTGGCCGGTCTTGTGCCGTCATTCCCCTAAACGCCATAAGGAGACCATACCAGGTGTCTAACACTTGTGAACCAGCAGGCTTGAATGAATTAAGTTTCATTTCTGTACATATTACAGCTTGGTATCCAAAGCTTGAGCTACTTAAAGATTTAGCAGTAAACACAAATAAATAAGTAAATAAATAAATGCTTCAATTCAATTCAATTCAATTTTATTTGTATAGCGCCAATTCATAACAGAAGTTATCTCAGGACACTTTTCAAATAGAGCAGGTCTAGACCGAACTCTTTAAAACATTATTTACAGAGACCCAACAGTACCACCATGAGCAAGACCTTGGCGACAAGGGCAAGGAAAAACTACCTGTTAAAAGGCAGAAACCTTCCACTGGATGGATTTGACAGTTGCCAAAACAAACATTAACACCCTTGTGATAAAACTTTAGCTGAAATATTTATTTTAATGTTCTATAGCCTGTGTACAGATTATTTATCACGACATCTGAAAAGCAGTGATGAGTTATGTGTTTGTCTGTTTCTTCATGTACTGTATATTTCACCATGAAACACTCACAGCAGCAAACCTTAAGCGCCCACACTTTTTAATCAGTTTCTGAATAATGCACAATATCATATATATGATTAAAACATGTATTTCAACACTATGGGCAGCTTGATTATGTATTGTTCTATATATGAGCTAGTGTTATCGGATAACTTCTATTTTTGTGCAACTAATTGTCTTCCTGACATTTCATTCATTCCTGAAGTGAAATCTTTTTGACTTCATGTAGAACGCCTGCTGAAACAGTCCAACCCATAATCATAACTGATTCATTATCACAACAGTGGGCAAGAATAATATCAGGATCAGGTCAGCCACCAAGGTGCAAAGAGCTAGAAAATATGGATGTTTGTAGATGGTAGTAGTTCATAATGTGTGTAAATTTTTCTTCATATGACTCATATCCACAGTTCTGTACACATCACATCGTCAGTGTTTTGGGAAAAAGAAATAAAACCCAACTAGCTGCTTCCCCAACAGAATGTGCACTTTAAACTTCTATATTTATATCTTTGTTCTGGCAACTGAGAAAATCTTCATCATCACCTTTAATCTGAACAGAGAGTAGAACTTTGACAAATGTGACACTGATGTAAATTGTGTAAATGTGTGCTAAATAGAACGTAAAGCAGTGTGGTTGTTTTTTAATTTAATTTGTACTCATTTTTTGTATATACATTGTCCAGAAACGGCCTGTACTCACATTTTTGTACTTTTCTGACTGGGAGGAAATGTATTTTTTATGTGACTTCTTTTTGTTGAAACTCTGATGTAACATAGCCTTATCGCTCTCTCTTTTTGGAGACAAAAGACTGTTTTACAGCTTTTGACTCTTTGTGAACCTCTGTGTAATTCGTTGTACAGCAACTCCATTTTACATGCATGAAATGTCCCTTTAATGTCGCCTTAACTGCTGTGAATACTGTATATACTGCACTGTATTTCTCATCACTTTATCAGTAAAGACGTCAACTGTCTAAACAATTTGACCTTTTTTGGATCAGAATCTGCTAAATCTGTTGATGTTAAAGGTAGAGCTTTGATCGAGCCCAAAAGAACAGGCCCAACCTAACCCGAGCCCCAAAATATCCTGTGTGCACCCAGTGGCGTATCCAGGACATTTTTACTGGGGTGGCCAAGATGGGACACGAAGCTAGCGTGGGGTGGCCATGGCATAGCGAAGTTTAATGCGTATACGTAAGCAGCTGACCACGGTTTGAATCCCGGTCCTTTGCTGCATGTCACATCCCCTCTCTCTCCCATGATTTCCTGTCTCGTAACTGTCAAATAAAGGTGTCTATGCTGGTAAAAAAAAAGGAAAAAAAGTCATATTCCATTTCCACCTATCACAGTCCTCAAGTATCTCTGGTTATTTTAACATGTCTATTTTTAATCAGTAATTATGTTCAGGATAGGGTACACATTTTCTAAGAGCCATTTCCTTGTAGTGGATTAAAGTCCTCGTCTCTTCACAAGTTAGAGTAGCAAAATTCAACTGCTCTTAACTCATCCTATAGAATAACATTTATCAGTCATCAGCTCATCATCCGTGTCACCTGTATTGTTACCTGTGTTTGCTTTACTAATTGAGGCGCCATCTTGTGGTTACACAAAAACACAGCAATCCAGGCAACAGAACAAACCAAAATGCTTAAAGATAGGACCTTATTAAAAAGTGTATCTGTAAGCAAAAGATAAACTAAGCTTGTAAGGAAAAAAACAATAATATTTGTTGTTCTTTACATGCTTAGTTTATGTTATTATTTAGCTTAGATATAATTTGTTGGAGATACTGGAATTTGAATTTTTTTGGTTTGTTGTTTGCCAGGTGTGTTTTTATTTAACCACAAGATGGCACTTAAATTAGTAAAGCAAACATAGGTAACAATACAGGTAACACAGATGATGGTCTGATGACTGAATAATGTCATTCTATTGGATGCCTTGTGATGTATGAAAATGTGCAAAAAGTGGTTTTCAACCCAGACAGTATTCATGTCCAAGGCCCTGATGAAGGTATAAATTGAAACGTTGGCTTTGATTCAGCATAAATTAAGACGTTTATTTAAATCAAACAGTTAAGACTTAGAATCATAAATGGTTAAGATGCTTCTTCATAAATTAACTTGTGATAAATAAACAATTGTAACATAAACCAAACAAATCTTAACTACAAACAAAGTATATACTATAAAGTAATGTTATGTAAATCTTCAAACTCTCAATTCAATTCAATTCAATTTTATTTGTATAGCGCCAATTCATAACAGAAGTTATCTCAGGACACTTTTCAAATAGAGTAGGTCTAGACCGAACTCTTTAAAACATTAATTACAGAGACCCAACAGTACCACCATGAGCAAGCACTTGGCGACAAGGGCAAGGAAAAACTGCCTGTTAAAAGTCAGAAACCTAGGACAGATCCTAGAGAGAGATGCACAATAGAGGATTCTAATAATAGTAACAAAGTGCAACAGAGGTAACAAGTTCTTGCTTTATAGGGTATATATATATATTTATTTTTTTACACTCACACAATCATACATGCATGCATACATACATACGTGTGTGTATTTATGTATTATGCACATTTTATTATGGTTCTTCTGTCTTTTACAACTGTTTTAACCATTGTTCTTGTGTAGTGATGTTTCAGACAGTTGTAATTGTATAACTGGAGTGACAAACAACTTGAATGTGAGCCTACATGGTAAATTCAAACTATCCAAGCATGACTTACCATCCTGTGCAGGAGGAGCTGACTGCTCTTCATCACTACTGCTGGTAGAAGCTGTGGCTGGCTCTGACTCTTTTCTTTTTTTTGAGGAAGAAGCTCTGAATATCTCTGCTTGTCTTCATAATTATTCTCTTAATATCCCTGGGAGAAATGTAATTCAATCACTCAATGCTAATAACTTATCTGTAACATGAAGAGGCACCCCAACCAGACACTGCTTTTTCATAATGGGTCATAAGCCTAAAAGGTTAAGAACTACTGGTTAAACCAAGCGTTTTATAATCTTATATTTTTTATGTAGTCTTAATCGGTACAGCTGTCAGATAAATGCCATGGAGTGAAAAGTTAAATATTTCCTTCTGATAGTAGTGGAGTTGCAGTATAAAGTCCATAAAATGTATCTTCTCAAGTTTTGGAACAAGTACAAACATTTCCAACAGTGCAGTTGGGGGATCAGGGATCATACAGAAAAGTACACAGAGTGGCCCCTTTCACTTACTGCACTACCTGATGGAGCTGGAGCTCAGTGCAGCTACTTTACTTATAGATGGGTTCTCAAATGATTACAGTTCCACTGAAATTACATCATTCCTCTAATGCATTTGTACAGCCGCATCGAGCTCTGTGCTCACATTAGTCAATCTCAAAAAAATACAACCGTGACACTGGTCTTTGGTTGAGGTAGTAGTGAGGCATCCCAGATACAGTTCATTAATATATATAAAAAAGATCAGCTGCTATAAATAAAATAAGCTAATCTGATGACCATTACTGGATTACTTAGTAACACTGAAGCTTCATTTTAAACCATCAGATTTGTCCATTAAACTGTAAAAAATGACAGTATGAAGATGCTGCAGAAACCTTTCTATAGGCACTGAGGTGGGCAGATGATGAAGCAATTAACATATTTTATCATGTCCTCATAATACCGTGTACTGGCAAGAACCTGGCAATATTATATGTATGTGTATACAGGCCCTGATCCAGTTCTTAGAATGTGCAGTTAGATGACGGTGTTCACTGTCAGAGGATAAGATACGGTGTCAATAATACAAACATTCTGTGTAAAATGAGAGCACACAAACACAGCTCTTAGAGAAGGCTTTTATATTGAAATTACAGGACTCTGTGCAGATACACATGATTGAAAACATTAACTAAAGTATGCTGATGGAGGATGGTCTCTATCAGTGGTTTTTGCAGCTTCAACTCATTGGGACCATCAGCGGTCCACCAGGCAGTCACATGCTGTGTAAGGACACGCTCCCTGGGTTTTAAGGCGTTCCACAGTGACGGGGTGAGGGCCGACTGGTGCTGGTCTCAGCGCTCTACAGCGGTTTGTGGTTCTTGGGTGACGTTAAATTCCATACTTCTGCTTCAGCTGCTCCACTAGTCCAATGTACTCGTTCATGGCATCCTCTTTGCTCTTTCCTGACAATTAATGACAAATCAAAATGCATTCAAGTTTATACATAAACACAAATGAATGAATAAATGAGCACTGCTCCTTTATTTACTTTAATCACTTCCACCTGGTGTGCAATTAAACAAGATATTAAACAAGAATATACCGGTAGATGTTAAAGAATATTTTATTGTAACTACTTGAGTTGAGTCAGGCAATTGTTTCTCTGGGTTGTACCAACACTGTGCTCACCAGACTGCACATTTACTCAAAAGTAAATGGCTGCATTTATGTCAAAAGGAAGTACAGAGATTTGACTACTGACAACAAAGTATGAAGAATATGAAGGAAAATCGGGAATTGGTTTAATAGTTGTTACAGCACAATCAATACAAACTTTGCCCATAAACTTTATACAAGTAACGCTAACTACATTAATCCAATCAATTTTTAACACCTGTCAAAAAATAATAAATAATAATATTTAGATATTTTAAGGACTTGGCATTGTAAATTGCATTTTAGACTTTTAAAGTCCCTGTGGCTTTAGGAACCTATGCACCTTTACACCAGTAGCTACTCTGTAGCTGACCTGTGCCTCCTCAAAAATCAAACTTCATGTCTGTTCCTGATGCTGGGGGACATTGTTGAGAGTGAAGACAACATGATAAAGTAATGGATGGTAAATGGACCTGTACTTGTATGGCGCCTTTCTAGTCTTCCGACCACTCAAAGCGCTTTTACACTACATGCCACATTCACCCTTTCACACACGTTTATTCAGTGATGGCAAAGCCCATCAAACAGAAACTAATTCATTCATACACATTCACACAGTGATGGCAAAGCCCATCAAACAGAAACTAACTCATTCATACACACTCACACACCGATGCACGGCATCGGGAGCAATTCAGGGTTCAGTATCTTGCTCAAGGATACTTGACATGTGTGCAGGAGGAGCCGGCAACCAACAACCTTCCGATTAGGGGACGACCCGCTCTGCCTCTGCGCTACAGCCGCCCCTGTTGAGGAATGACTTTGTAGTCTGCTCAGTTCACATCTCTGTCTTTAGTGAAGAAAGAACAAACACAGCTGGTGCACAGCAGCAGCACAATGTGGATAAAGGAATATAAACAGTTACTGTAGGGAATATAAAGTGTGGTAAGGCCTGATAACATGATACACTGGTAAACTGTTGCAGTAGGTATCTACTGCTGAACTGCTGTAACCCTTTGAGTCCACCGAAGATGTAATAAAGCCAAATTCCTCTCCAGTCAGCCTGACTATGTTGAAATCACTCACTGAGACTGCAACAGTCAATGTGATCAGAGCTCACTGTATAAGAGTGAAAACTGGCAGCTCAGTATCCTTCAGACCAAGACCAGATACAGATACATAGTGGACACATACTCCACTACTGAAAGTGTGTGAATATGAAAAATGATTTGCTTGCACCAGTGACTGACTGTGCTAAAGTCGCTAAACTCTGATGGTAACAGCGCTGTTATCTCTCCTCCTACTAACAAAGCCCAGTGTATTCAGCTAGAAGCTTCTCATTTGTACTGGTTTAAGTGACCAACCATATCAGTTTTCGATCATTTACGTCAATTCCTGAGTAACCTGACGGCAGGCCAAGAAAAAACTTGGCTGGAGTCGGGTCTGTATCGGTACCCTGTAAACACCCAACTCCAACATTCTTTACTTATACTTACATCTATGTCATATCAATAACTAAACCACAATAGTTAGCATTATAATTCTGAGTCAGAATTCCTTTAGAATTTGGATCAAGTAGTTTGTGAAAAGTAAGATGTACTGAATTTAGAAAGCTACACATTATTTCAATTTGTCAGTCAAACCGCATTAAGGACAATCTAAGTATGTGATCAAACTCAGTATCAGCAGGTATTAAAAGATTAGGGCTCACTCTTATATTTCCAGGCTCTCTGATAAGATGGTTTGTGAGTTGAACTTTGAACTATGACAGGATGCACACAAATGGATCAGGGGTTGGGCTTCAGCTCAACCGGAGATAACCCTGAAATCTTTCCATTCACACTGTCAATCTGCAAATGAATGCAGTGGAAGGGAGAACTATACGCTGACTTTATACACAGTAGTACAAGATTCTTTGAGTACCTGATTAGATGGGAGGGATGGGAATCAAGAACTAGTTCCAAATTGTCCGATCCCTCGGAAATGTATGACTCCAAACTTATCAGTTCCTTTTATTGATGCCAGCATGTTTTTCTGACAGTTGCAAAACAATAGTGTCAAACTTGTCTATGCTGCTGGAAACTTGCAACAAGGAGCAGTCATGGGGGAAAGGGAGAAATGGTCCAGAGCCTGGCTGCATTTCACAAAGAAAGATGTAATGTCTATAAAATAATCATTTCAACTAATGGTGCAAACACCAGCAATATACTGAACATATTTCTACCCTACATGGGCTTAAACTTTAGGAAGGCCATGTATTTAACACTCTGCATACAAGTTATACTGCTTGCAACTGAGCAGCACGTCTGTTACTGAGGGTAAAGATACGTTTATAACATTAGCATTGTTTTTCTTTGACTAAGAAAACCTAAATGAAAGCTGCGCAAATATTAGGGATAGAGATCGAGAACCGGTTCCAAATTAAATAGCAGTTTAACAGCGAAGCTTTGTCACATCTGAGTTACATGCAGGCCTTGTTTCTACACTGATCACACTCAATACAACTGTTGCACTGGTGATCAAAACCTGTGTAGGCCTACTTTTTTTCCCCACACAGAAAATTGATGAAGAATCAATGGGGAATTGATAAAGAATTGGATCAATAAGCAGAATCAATAATGGCATTGGTATCAATAAAGTCTCCCTTGTGAAGAAAAAGACTTTAAGGACAGAACCATCTACATGACTGAATGTGTACCTTTCTGCTTCTCCCAGGCGTCCCATTTAGCTTTCCCAGTGAAGTCAAACATCCCTGGACGATCTTTAGACAGAGGGAAGACAAAGTCAGATGTAAGTGAACAGGTTTAAAGGACAATTCCGGCGCAAAATGAACCTGGGGTTTAAAAATAACTATCTTTTTAATACTTAATAAAACTGTCTGTACACTTACAAAGTTCTGAATGCTTCGGTTTATACATAGGGGCCCTCATTATGCTACCGTGTAAGTGTGGTGCTATTTTGAGTCTTGTTAGTGGTATAAAAAGCGATTTCTTTTCACGTTACTCTGTGCCCCGTTTGCTAGCATTATAAGCTAATTAGCGGTTTGTGCTAAAACCGGTCACAGTCGATTAACATGTAAACATATCCCAGAGAACGGACCAACTCAGTACACATGTGTTATTAACCCCAGGTTCATTTTGCGCCGGAATTGTCCTTTAAGGAAATCAAACAAGTTAGCAGAAACAGGGCTCCAGAGCACGACCAATTTGGTCGCACATGCGACCATAATTTTTAAGAGTGCGACTAATCATTTTTCTAGGTCGCACTGGTGCACCTGACGCTGCCCGGGTGAAAACATAAATTTATTTCACAAGCGCATCATCTCTCTGTGTTCTCCTGTGACCGAACTCAAACACTCATGGTAGGATCATATCGTGTTCTAAACCAATAAGAGACAGAGCTCGGGCGGGTCTTTGCCTCTGATTGGCTGTGGTCTTGTACCGCGTTAAATTGTGTGTGTTTAAAAATTGCCGATCCCCGGTCCTAAGTTCGGCGACAGCATCAGACTCAGAACCAGAGGAGGAGAGAACCGAGTCTGGGATAGAGCCCGGCTCCGAGACCCAAATTAAAAAGGCCAAAATATATTCCTTCAGACAGGACTGGCTGAGACAATTTCCCTGGCTGAGGTTCAACAAAGGACGTAACGCAATGCACTGCGTGTACTGTCAGGAGTGCGGTCAGAATATGGCCGGAAATAGTGCATTTGGGAGCGGGTCAACAACGTTTCGTATCGAACTTTTATTTGGAAATGTTTTATTTTGCTTAGTGTTTCAGTTTGAAATTTAGTTTCAATTTCAGCTCAGTGAAGCACTTTAAACACTTTATTTTTCTTTTTATATATAATTGTGCTTCAAATAAAGACAAGCATTTCTCTACACCTTATTCTTGTTTAAAAATCATTCACATTATATCAAAGTTATGGAGAGCAATAAAAAGGTGACCTTATGGCATTAAAGGCGACGCAATGAAAAATTTGGGTGCACCTACATTTTGTGCTGGTGCACCTAAAAAAAAAAAAAAAGTTAGGCACACCAGTGCAACCAATGCAGAAAGTTAGTCTGGAGCCCTGAGAAACGTTCTGCACTGAAGGTGTAAAGCATGTGAGGTGGGAACAGGAGTCAGGTTGGCTCGTCACTAGAGGAAGAGGCTCCCTAAGTGGGTGCCAGGCCGAAGGGTGCTGCAAGATTCTGAATAATGTTCACCACAAACAAATGAGGAACCATGAACTAACTGTTTATATTTTTAATGTTTGTATCAAAATGGAAGGAATAAGCATTTCGCCATATGTAAAACTTATTAAAAAATCTGTTATGTATATGTTTATTAATATGTTTGTTTGGTACAGACCCCAACAAATCTCACATGCAAAAACAATCACTCCCACACTAATTATGAATCCTATCAAAAGATCTGTCAAAATAATCGCAATCTGATGTTTTTACCACATCATGCAGCCCTACTTTCCAGCAGACACTTTTTACAGGTGCACACCATCAGAGCAAGTGATGGAAGATTGTTGTGTACAGAGGTCAGAGAAATTTTCCCTACGGTCTGAAACCATTGACAGCTGAGAAAAACAATCTACAGCGAGAGCATATATGACAGCAGTGACTGTTTGCGGCAGGAGTCTCACCTGTGTTGACATCGCCCACAGAGGCCTGCTTGAACAGGGAGTAGACCTGCAGCATCTCCTCATCTGCCGGCTTCGCCTTCAGCTGCTTCACCTCAGCTGCTGCTGTGTCAAATTTAGCCTGCAGAGGAGAGGACAGCTTCAGAACAATACTGATCACATTACTACATTAATATATATATATATATACGATTTGACAATAAGCTACATCAACACAACAGTACGTGGAGTTAAACTGGACAGCCCCAATAACCTCTGAATAGTTCTACTTGTTGTTAAATTGAAATGTGAGCGGCAGCCAATGGGGGTGCATTATGTTGGCAGGATCATTTAAAAGGCAACCGGGACTACATTGTGCGTCTGCCCCATTTCTGATACCGTGGCGGCAGAAATTTAACAGCGGCGGGCCGCTGCACCAAAATCAACATAGAAGAAACACTGTATATATACATACACACACATAAACACACACACACACACACACACACACACACACACACACACACGTGTACATACATATATACATACAAATAATGTTATTATATACACATAAATATGTACATTTATATGTTATTCAGATATAAATGCAGGAATAGCTATTAGAACTCAAGTGGCGAACTAGAGTGAGTCAATGAAGTGATGCGAGTTACTGAAACAAAGTTATTAATCTGTATTCTCTGTGTAGAGTAGTGTTGTCACGATACCAAAATTATTGTTTCGATACCGATACCAAGTCAAGAATTGCGATTTCGATACTTTTTCGATACTTTTCTGTAGCAGAAGAAAATGGAATTATTTAAAATATGATGGTGATAAATTTGTCATAACAGAGGATCTAAATAGTTTGTGTGATAGTAACAATAACTTGTGACTAACTTAGCATCTCTATATGCAGTGGTTATAGTGATAACTGCTAACATTTACTTAACCATAACATTACCATAATTAATAATAGGAAATAATGAGTTAACCTAATGTTATTTAAGCTGTGATATATGGATTAATATAGGCTAATGTTTCCTGTACTTCAATGTCTGATTTCTTTGATGGTTAACTTTATATTTGAGTCCATCATTTCTTACAAGGCGTTTCACAAATACACCTCCTCCTCTGCGGTCTGTGCTCTTTAAATGCTGTAATAATCTAATAGAAATAAATCAGTGACAAACATGCACATGCTCTGATTATAATCATATAGCCTATAGATCATTTTAGCTGATGTTTGTGTGCTTTATTTTAGCAGCTTGCAAATGATTAACGTTATCTGTGAAAGTTGCGTTTTCAGAGATGTTGAATTAGCCATAGGCAGGCTGTTGGTCAGCCATGAGGATAATGCCCATAGTCAGCCTACTATTTCTCTAGATAGCCTCGTCAAACTACGGTGGTGCAAAATAGTGACTTCTCACAAAATAAAAAATATCCATAGCCTACTCATTTGACTTATTTAAGGGCATGAGCGTGGTCGTGTTATCTTTCACATACTAACCTCGGTCTTTAAACTCCTTGTACAACTCAGCGTGCTTGTCGGCCAAGTGTTTCTCCAGGTTGGAGGTGTTGGCTCCCTTTGTTTACATTTGTTTGTAGCACTGACGACAAACAGGTCTCGACTTATCGGTAGCTTTGCCCTCACTGTCAGCAAGGTAGTACTTCCATATTTCACTCCTCGCGTCATCTTTTTCTACCAGTCGTGGACCGGCGGCCACAGTATCACTTGTGCTCGCACATGCAGCCATCTCGTTACAGTGTTTGTCACATGACAGCTGCAGCTTCTTTGCTGCATGCGTGAGGAGAAAAAACACAGACGTCCATAGGGAGGCACTGGAAGCACGCGTTGCACACACCAACATGAAATACGTCTCTTACAAATCTGGAACGCGGTCATTCTCAAAAGTATCGATACTAATAAATTTAGGAATCGTGACGTTTTTAATTTCCGAGAATCGCGATACTTTTGAAGTATCGGTGCACCGTGCAACACTAGTGTAGAGTGAAAAGAAATGGAGGACAATGGTTGTTAATTCTGACAGAACATAGAATTGCGGACATTCAGGAAAAAAGTTCCTTTTTGAGCCCTGCTGGGCGTATTACATCAGTAGTTTCACATTTTGAGTTTGGAGGAGATACTGACAGTGAATAGGGTCAATTTGAACTTTATCCACCTCTGCTGAGCTATTGGCACTTACTCATGCAGAGCAGATCTCTTTTTACCTGACCCTGCATCACATGTGCCTTTTGTTTGTTAATTACTTTATGAGCATAGTTCCAAAATAAATATACGTCCACTGCTGCAATATCCTGTCTCTGATAAGAGAGGCTGGTAAAACAATCTGGACACAAACTGATTTTAGGCACCGCTTCACATGTCCCTGATCTCCTTCCACCCAGACTGTGAATCTGGAGATGAATGCAGTGCAACTGAAAGGAGGCTAAAGCCTTCACAAACAATGAGCCCATTGATTTAGTTGGACCCCTATAAACACGGCAAAACCCCACTGGCTTACTAAAATGATTAGAGGTTTGGATTAATAATACAGATTTTTTTTTCTCTGCTTATTGCCAGAGAAGCACTACATATGCAAATTATCTCAGGACACTTTTCAAATAGAGCAGGTCTAGACCGAACTCTCAAAACACAGGATAAAATAGAGCAACCTGCACTGGAAACATTTCACAGCTGCTGTTAGATCTAAGTTCACACTTTAGGCCAAAGTGAACAAGAAGAATGTTGAAACATCTGTGAGGAAACTTCAGAACACTTCAACAGAAATACAGCTGGATCAGTAAGAGGAGCAAACATGTGGTTGTGGAGACATTGTTACCAGTGTGGACAGGAGTCTTTCCCACCCTCAGGCAGTGTCACTAGCTAGATGGCTGTAGGGCAAAGGTCAGGGAGGAGACGTTGAATGCAAACACTATTTCCACATAGTCCTAACCTCTGATACTGCTCAGCTGTCAGGTGGACTATGTGAACGACTATGTGAACTAACATGTGACCGGGCATGCAGAGCTGCATATCAGCGGCCATGTTGATCTTCTTTTGATGCCCGATTTTCGTTTATAACCTTCAATTGTAGCCCACCTGCCAATACTAAAGGGGGGGTAGCTATCACATAATATTGTACTATCGACAGATATTATAAACCAAACACAGAAGCTGTTAACATTTAGCATAAACTGTTTTATGTATGCACAGATAACGGTAGAGCAGAGTATGAAGAATCAAGTCCCACCACTACCTCACTAGCACAGCTAGCTAGCTAACAGCAAACAGGAACAGTGTAACGTTACACCAGTGTACCGGTTAGAAACAATACTATTTTGTTTAGTTCCCATGTGCTCATATGCGGAACCAACGGCTCGCTGTAATTCTGTTAGCTCGCTATCGAACAGCAGCTAACGGCTTCCTCTGTCGCTTATTTCACGGTACGCAGCGGAATATAGAACAGCTCTTAAATTAGCAGCCAACTACTTCCATACACACCTGGAGGTCAGCCATCTTCAGTTACTGCTCCGACAAATCGGGATAACCGCTCCGCACACAGACGACTGGATGGATGGTGAAGAAACCAAGTCCGCTGTCCCTCCCACCGTGCAACTACTGCCGGTCGACCCCCGCCCCGCCCCCTCCAACACGCCCTCCTCCTCCTTCATACTATTGGCTGAATCAAAGACTGACATTATATTGCGGCCTTTCATGAGGTGGCGTGAAATATGCACTAATCAAACATATCATAGACAGTGTTTCCCAAACTTTTGCCTTAAGGGACCCCGTTTCAACCGCTAAGTAAACTGACAACCCTTGCTTCAGTGACATAATATTTCTTATTATATTCAAAACTGTACAATGAACCCAACTAGTGAACTCCTGAGTTGCTTTCACACAAAGCAAGAGGTTTGTGTGAAAGGAGTGATTTGGGTGAATTCTGAGAAAATACAATTCTCTGTCTGTATTATGTAATTTTAAAATCAGTTTTAACAATCATACAGACTTTTTTTAAACTCATTTTTCTTTCCTTAAAATCAGGAAGGCTTCATGACCCTCTGTGAGTGAAGAGGCTGTGCTTAACAAAGTCGACATCCAATTCAAGTGGCAGTAGCAGGGTGATGTATAGTGGCTGCGTCCCCTGTGTCAGGTGACAGAGATAATAGCAGCCACATCCTCTCAGCGGAGAGAGTCCTCCTGCTCTGAGATAACAAGGTCAGCTCGTCACTGTGTCTCCGCAGCTCTGCAGACACCCGATCTGTCGCCCTGCGGCTCTGGAGGCTTTTGGACAACTTTGAAAGCCTTTTACTTCAAGAAAACAGGGGAAGATGAGAGCACTAGATCTGGGAGTAATGGCAGGAGAGGCTCCATTAGTCTCCACACCACCATGTTTTGAGGAATCACTGGTGTTCATGCTTAAAGATCCCCTCAAGACATATATCCAATATTATCCACTTTTACATATGGTAATCACTAGTGTTCATTACTGTTTAACATCAATTAACACATTTGGAACATGATTGGTGGTGTTGATGGAGGGGTAATTGAGGTCATCTGATGGGACTTCTGGTTTTATGTCTATGAAAAAAAAAGGTTGGTAACCACTGCAGTAATCCATCCATACAGCTGATTCAGAACCCCTGCTGCCAGACCAAGAATGTGGATCACATGAGTCCAGTACTCAGATCTTCACACAAGCCTCCTGTGTGTCAGACAATTGAATTGGAGCAGGTATGTTAAATCAAGGACCAAAACCTGTCTGTTTGCCACTGCATTTCATTATATTAGATATAAGATAAGATAGACTTTATTGATCCCCCACTGGGAAATTTCGTTTGTTACAGCAGCTCAAGATACAACACAACATAAGAGATAAGAAAATACCATAATACAAATATAATAGAAACAGACAAAAACAGGTATGAGAGTTATGTACACTATATACACCTTATTATATACAGATGGGAATGATGGGACATTGCACAGTAACTTAACGTTACCTCCAGAAAAACGCGATTATGCGATCGCATAATTCAATAGATAATCAGCCAAAGTCCGCATATTTTTGCGGGGGCCGCATTTTTTCAAATACGCCGCTCTGATTTTCACGCAAAATATGCGGGGCTTGCATGATTTCATAACCCATGCATTTTCGTCGCAAAAAAGTCACATATATATAGCAGAAAGTTGAAAAATGTTGCGTTTACGTTACTTCACTCAAGAGCAGCCATTTTCCCCTGTTGCCATGGGAACGTTATGAAGTGACGTAATTACACGACGTGAACATCCAATCCAATCCAATCCAACTTTATTTGTTAAGCACTTTAAAAACAACCAAAGTTGACCAAAGTGCTGTACAGGAGAATAAATAAGACATCATAAATGTAAACAGTGATGATGATGATGATGATGAAGACCACTGTGAGGAATATAGACAGTGATGGTGATAACACTGGAAAGTTCCCGTGGCAGATAACACGGACGAAGTCCGATGGCGACGAGCTTGATGTCCGGGCTGCAGACGCTCTTTCACACAGACGTGCCCGGCGTTACACCACATGTTGTTTATGAGCACGGACAGTCCCCCTCCTTTCTTCATGCCGGTCGCGGTGGTGTCCCTGTCGGCTCGAACCGTCTGGAAGCCGGGAATGGTGATGATGGAGTCCGGTATCTGCTCGATGATTGCAGGGATGTAGAGTTTAAAGCTCCTCTTCTTCATCCTCCGGTTAACCCCCGCTCTGCAGCCTCACCGTCTCCTCCTCAGCTCCTCCGGTATGGAGGGTCTCTCTCCGGTCAGGATGCTAGGGGGCCTCAGGGCGATCATCTGGTCGCGGGTGAAAACAATGCGACTCCCCGTTGCCATGGAGACCAGCGTAAACAAAAAATAAAAAGTGCTCAAAAACGCCAAAAAAGTATTTAGGCGACATGAACAAAGTAGTAAGAGAGTAAGAAAGTAAGAAAAGAGTTCAAAATAGCAAAAACACACTAAAACTACAACAATGAAAGGAGCTGCCATGACAGGCTGCCGTTGTCGCCGGCGCCATTCCATGGAATCCATAACCAATCATCATCGAAAAGCTGCAAACCCCGCGATGAAAACCTTACAGTTGTAAGTATATTAGTAGTATGTAAATTTACGTTACAGTAAGAGATTGCACTTTGTGCATTGGAAGCACTTATTTTAACAGAAGATGTCTGTTTTGTATAGCTACCTCTGTAAAACAGGAAGCACACATTTTATTTTTATTTTTTTTATTCATTTTCACAGAAGTTGTAGCATATTCCTTTTGTAAAGCTACAGAACTTGTTTGACTCATCAATGTTTTGTAAGTTTGAGCCATGTGTTTATTAAGGTCTGAAATACAACAAGATGAGAACTTAAATATTCCCAGCACTTTCTGTGATGTAGTATGCTTGCTTATCATAGGAAGTAATAAGAAATGACTATTTACAGTAAGGTACAAAGACTAGTGAGATCAGGGTGTTGGGGGAATCACTTTTTTTTCTCTTTTTCATCAAACCGCAGTTTTTGCAAGTTCCCGCAATTTCATCGCATAGAATTGCATAAATATCCCGCATATTCCATCGCATTTTTTAAGAAAACGTGCCGCATATTTAAGGATTTTTGCCCGCGACAATCACAAAAAAACTCCGCATTTTTCTGGAAGGACTGATTGCACAATAAGATTATTGAATAGATACACACATTGTCTTGAAAGATGAATAACATATGCACAAATATTGCAGCAGGAGGTAGTGGCACAGTGGTGTAAACAGTGTAAAAATAAAATTAATAATAAAATTACACAGGACAAAAATATACAGCAAGTAATTCAAGCGAAATATGGGCTATAAATATTAAGAGTGTGTAGAATGTATGTATTAAGCACTGCAGTTTCATTCTCCTGTTTAATTTGTCTTAGCTTATTTTTATTGTCCATTTTATTTTGCTCTTTGTAAATCATAAATGTGTCTTTTGATAGTTTATTTTCCTGATGGCCTTTATGTCTTAGGTAAAGCTCTTTGCCTTCAAAGGTGCCTGGTCTTGTTCTGTCATCTTAACGCTAGATGTCTCCACCGGCCCTCCAACCCCTCTCATACTTCCTCTGCTGGTGTCTCACTCTGGGTTACAAACTGAGGACTGTAAGAAAAAAACAGCAGTTTCCCACAGATCAGGAGTGACAGGAGAGGACTTGGAGCAGAGGACAGGAGTGCTTTCGGTTGCTTATTCTAGTTCACTTTAATCAAACATTAATGCCAATCACTCCCTGAACCTTTGACTTCAACACTGGACTATACAGTCTGCACACACCATGACTGCCACTGGTGTCAAGGTAATCAAGTTTGATTTATTCTAATTTAACCATAGTTTTGTCTATTTGTAAGATGGTCATGTGTTTGTGTGTAAAATAAAGGTAAAAAGTAGCTGTCAAATGAATGGAATGTACTCAAGAAAAGTACAAACATCTTAAAGTTGTACTTGCACTTAAGCCAGTCTTCATGTGTTTTTTATCCATTACAGTAGGTGTTTTTCCTACTAGACATGTTGTAGGATATTCAAATGCTCTATAAAAAGCCTCATTACTGTTATTTTCAGGTTCAATGAAAAGGTCTGCTGTAGGAATTGAGTAATGTTCAGTCAAAGGGGAGGGTATTTCAAGGATAATCACCAAATGTACCAAGTGTAAACTAACAACAGTGATCAAACTCTGATCACTATAAACTACAATCAAAACGGACAACTCTATTTCTTCCCTTCTTGTTATAACTTCCAACAAATATGATAAAAGTTCTTCTTCCCCACCTTCTGTCTGCTTCCGTTAGGGGTTGCCACAGTGGATCAGCTGTTTCCATCTTTTCCTGTCCCCTGCATCTTCCTCTGTCACTCTAACCACAACCACATGCATGTCCTCCGTCACCACTTTCAGAGACCTCCTCTTTGGCCTCCTCTTGCCTGTCAGCTCCATCTTTAGCATCCTTCTCCTAATATACCTGCACATGTCCAGACCATCTCAGTCTCGCCTCTCTGGCTTTGTCTCCAAACCGTCTAACCTAAGCTGTCCCTCCTTACTTCCTAATTTTGCCTATCGTTGTCATTTGCATTGAAAATCTTAGCAGCTTAGCCTCTGCCACCTCCTGTCTTTCATCTCCAGACCACACAAAATAGTTGGTAGGGTAGAGTGAGTGCATCATCATCAGTTTTTTTTAAGTTTGCTATATTTATTGTTTATTAGAAAATGGATATTGACATATTTTACTATGATGATACTTGTATAAGGTACATTATCTGTACCGGAGCCTTGTTTCAGCCAAGTATTCAGCAAACCTAATGGCTGTTGATGAAAAATGTCATAGAAGTTTTCTATTCCTCCTTTTGCTGGGGACTTCCTAGAGCCCACTCAAAGACCCCAATTGGTCCCTGGACCCAAGTTTGAAAACAGCTGCTCTAACAAAAGTCTTGAATGTTTTACTGACTCTGCTATCTTCCACCTGGCCTACTGGTCCTCTGTACTTGTTTGAACAAGAGATAAGTATCGTGAGCAAGGTGACAGAGGAAGGTTTTTGAAGTCTTTTTAAGCAGAAATGACTCCTCCATGTCATTTTTAGGTCTACAGAAGCTCTTTACTACAGAGGAAACCACATCCCCACTCCCAGCAAGCCCTGGTCTGCAGCCTGATCATCCCTGTCCATCGTCCTCTCCGCCACAGCCCTGTGTGATGGCCACTGGCTTCAGACTTCCAGAGGACGCACGTTTGGCCTGTGGCGCTTCTGTTCCACAGAACCTGTGGAAAGTGTGGATGGGATGATACCAGTTGAGCGTCACATCCCGCAGCCTTTGTAGGACATGAACCCTCAGCCAACCTGCACTGCATCACCGAGCTGGGTCAGTCTGGTGTGGAGGGGGTGCAGGTGGGGATGGCCTGTTGTCGTGCTCTGGTTTCCCTGGCTGTGGTGGCTGCCATCTTTGGCCTGGAGTTCCAGGTGATTTCCCAGGTGAGCCAGGGCCAGGATTCAGCCTGTCGATGGATCCTGGGCTCAGCCCTGATGCTGGTGGCAGCATCCATGTCTGTGTCAGGTGTGGCCGTGTTCGTGGCTCTGCTTCAAGGGTTTGTGTCACCAGTGGGCCTCACACTCACCTTCTGGTGCCAGATCACCGCTATATTCTTCTTTCTCCTGAATGGAATGGCAGCACGCTACATCCATGTCATGAACACACAAGCTCCATTGGGTGGCACCCTGCAGAAATGCTGAGTGAGAGTCCAGTGACTGTATGGGGGTGAGGTGAATCAGTTCCTGAGCATTGTGGTGTAATGGTCAGTCTACGGACAGCTAAATCCCTCGCAAACTGCTTTGGACATGAGAGCATGAAGTTAAAAATTAAGGATGAGCAATTATCTGTATCTGTACAACCAACTAAATTATCTATATCTGTACTCAGAATGGACAGGGCTTAAACCAGACCTTATATTAATATGGGTTAATCAGAAGTTGCTATATTAATTTGAAAACAACCTACAGCCCACACTGTACCTACACCGTAGCCACAGTGTTGTTTCCATACAGAAGTATGAATCAGGCTTAGTAAACACCTGGTGGCGATTACATAATGATCTTCACTGTGTGATAACTAGTGTTGCCACAGTTACTTTGAAAAAGTAATCTGATTACTGATTACTGCTTTAAAAAGTAACTTAGTTACTTTACAGATTACTTGATTTTAAAAGTAACTAAGTTAGATTACAAATTACTTTATTAGTTACATTCAGCAGCTGCCGACAACACCCCCGCCGCCTCAATATAAAAATGACAACTGGTTTTGCCAACACTCACTTTATTGGAAGTGCATTTTTAACAGTAACGTCAACAATACATCTCCTGACATTTTAAGTCTACAACATACTGCCCGACCAACTTCTTCAACTCTGCCCCACTTACTGGTTTTACACCGAAGTCCAGCTTTTGTTGTTTGGTGGTGGGGGACCTCCTGCTCTCTGCTTCGTACCACCTGGTGGGACCTGCTCTGTAAGTTTGACTTTGCAGTGCTGCGACTCCAAATGTTTCTTCAAATTTGACGTAGTGTTTTTGTAGCTAGATAGCACTTTGTCGCCACCAGCACAGAGTGTACAACGAACCTTTATATTGCCATCTTTAGCTGACACAAACTCAAAATAGTGACTGTATTTCCAGCTAGCAAGCGCACATCTCTCTCCTCCCTCCATTGTTGTTTATGTTTGTGTCTGCGTAGCCTACACGTGAACTGTCCTCATGCTGAAAACGTGACTTGTCGCATAGGCTATGTGACTTCACTCCCAGAGACGCAAGAAGAAAGCAAATATATGTTTATTAAGGAAAATGACAAACATAGTAATGCACTGTGACTTGGATAAGTAACTTTAATCTGATTACCGGTTTGGAAATAGTAACGGGTTAGATTACTTGTTACTGAAAAAAGTGGTCAGATTGGAGTAAATTGCTAAGTGACGCGTTACCAGCATCACTGGTGGTGACAGCCAGTAAATTTGAACTGTAATCAGCCAATCACAAAAGAAGAGGGACAGACCACACTGATCAAAAATGTATCTCTTTTGTCTGGGTAGCCTTTTAGTAGTATTATTGTTAAGGTTAAACTCCAGGGAAATTGGAAGGTGAGCCTTTTATTTACAGTTTTATTTTATAAAAGCTTTTGTAAAATAAAAGTTGTTATATTTACAAGTACGGATATTGACACATTTCACTTTGATGATACTCATAGTTATTAAAAAGTACATTATCTGTAGTAGGTACTTTCAACAACATTTTAAACATTTTGTAAAACTTGAGAAGGATGTTTCTAGAAAATCTTAAACATTTGCAAATTTCTGATGTTTATAGGCACTCATTGCTTATCTAATGATTCTTCTCCTTTCGTCTGACTCAGAATTAATTTGAACTGTAAGACTTCATTTGAACTATGTGCGACAGGAAGTGTAAAAGGACCATAGATTGTAAGTGTTAGTGTTGAACTGACTGTGTTCTGTGGTTTTTAGCAGCACATAAACACATTTCTATAGCTGACTATTGTTTTTTGTTGTGTTGTAAAGTATATTCAAATAAACTCTTCATTTTCCATTGTTTCCAACCTGTCTTATACTTTTTGTCAATGCAACTGAACAGAACCTAAACTTTGTAAGACAGCAAACCAAACGGATGGAGCACATAGTGATGATATCACAGTTATAAAAAGGCTCACTGATGTGTTTTTATTTGCTTTTAAATAACAATAGAGCTTTACGACACAGAAGAATAAGATGTATTAGACTTTGATACTGATAATACTTGTCAGTGGGATCAATTCACGGTTGATTTCGGTATTTTCATTGGATTTGTTCAGTGGACAAGCAGTTTTGGCTTACTGTGTACATTTAGGAAACGTGTGTGTGTCACTGTCTCATCTGGCTGTAATAATCTTACTGTCAGCTAAATTATCAGATAAAGCCAGAAGTATTTTTAGATTAAAGGTCACTTGATAAGAGCTTGCTGATTAGTATCTCTAGTATGTCCATTGACCTGTTTACTGTCAGTGTTCATAGCTGCACAACAAGCCTCTTTTATTGCTACAGTAAGGTTGTGAGGCAATAATTTACCCATGTCCGTACTTATGAACTAAAACGTTTTCTTATTACTTTATTTATATTAGTTTAATTCTGATAGCAAAGCGACAAAACCAAACAAAAAACAGATTACACAACTTTTGAAGGACACCAGCAGTCTTTGTGTGATGTTATTCCCCCTGAGTATTCTCAGGAAGTACAGTCTCTGCTGGGCCTTTTTCAACAGCTCAGAGGTGTTCACACTCCAGGAAAGGTCCTCCTGGATATGGACTCCCAGGAAGCAGAAGTCTGCCACCCTCTCCACACAGTCCCCGCTGATGATTAATGGTGGGATCTCTGTTTTATTTCCCCTGTAGTCTATGATGAGTTCTTTGGTCTTTGAGGTGTTGAGGAGCAGGTTGTTGTCCCTGCACCATGTTGACAGCCGCTCCACCTCATCTCTGTAGGCAGACTCACCCTTCCCCCCGGAGATGAGCCCCACCACTGTGGTGCCATCCGCAAACTTCACCATGGTGTTGCTGTGATGGACAGGGGAGCAGTCGTGTGTGTAGAGGGAGTAGAGCAAGGGACTCAGCACACAGCCCTGGGGAGAGCCGGTACTGAGGCTTAAGGCGGTTGATGTGTGATGGCCCACTCTGACCCTCTCTCTGCAGTCAGAGAGGAAGCTATTGATCCACGTGCAGGTGGTGTGTGGAAGCCCCAGGTCCCCCAGTTTGACTGCTAGCCTGTGAGGGAGGATGTTATTGAATGCAGAGCTATAATCCACGAAGAGCATCCGCACATAGCTCCCCTGCTGCTCCAGGTGTGATAGTGCAGTGTGTACTGCTATGGCTATGGGGTCTTCTGTAGATCGGTTCGCTCTGTAGGCAAACTGGTGGGGATCAAGGCTGCAGGGCAGGGCAGCATGATGTGACTACGGACCAGTTTCTCAAAGCACTTCATAACCACTGGGGTGAGTGCTACTGGTCTGTAATCGTTGAGGCTAGAGATGTGAGGTTTCTTGGGCAGTGGGACTATGGTTGAGGATTTCAGGCAGGGTGGGACAGTGGACTGTTCCAGGGACTGGTTGAAGATCTTTGTGAAGATTCCAGCCAGCTTATCTGCACAGTCCTTCAGCACGCGTCCCGGGACGCCATGAGGACCAGCCGCCTTCCTCGGGTTGATGGCCCGCAGTGTGCGCCTCACCCATACCTGCCAACTTTTCAAAAAACCTCGGAGTGAGATTTTGTCGGGAGTGACCAAAATGATGCCGCGCACACAGCCACACAAGTTGGTGGCTCAGATATCAGAGAATTGGAATTCATTTGATGTTGTACCCATGTTGTACCCTGCATTCAGGTATTTGTGGGGAGGCCCAAAGCTGCTGATAGGGGCAGCCTACTGGAGATGGACAATATTGGTTACATTCTGAGAAGCAGACATAGCTGAAGGTCCACCCCCTGGAAATATTGGATTAAGTAGATGTGATTTCCTGCATTCTAGTGGATTTTTGGGTAGTCTGCTAAAGATGTGCAATACCTGAACTTCATTCATGTGATCTGATTCATGTTCGGCATCATGACTTGTAGGGCCTTCTAGACTTGAGCTGAACATTCAACCAGAAAACTATTGTTGTGCCTAAATGACTGCCTGTATCACAATAAACCCTTTTTCATAGACCAGTGTTTAAGATTGGACCTAGGTACCTGTAGGTTGATTGATATTTTGATTAGAATGGTATTAAACTGTGAGTAAATAAACAATGCAATGAGCTGATATTTTGAGCATGCAGTATACCACGAGGTTAACAAGGTGCTCTCCTGCTGCTTATTATGACAGCTTTCACCACACTAAATCATGTTCACGCGCACAAATAATTTATTTCAAGATTTGAAGTTTAAGAGAGTGAGTACTCAATTGGACAACATTTCATTGTTACATACCTAGTCTCAGCTCAGATCAAGGACCAACTTTTGATTTCAGAGGTGGGGGGGACACAAGTATTTTCTTTTAAGTTATTTTTTTGGCCTTCTGATGGCTTTATTTATAGAGACAGCTGTAGGGAGACAGTGACGGTGGGTGGAGAGAGAGGGGATGACACGCAGCAAAGGGCAGCAGGTTGGATTCGAACCTGCACCGCTGCAGCAACTCTGTATATGGTCTACTGACTGAGCTAACCAGTGGGCGCCCCCAAAACACAATAGTAGTTCTTCTAGTTTTCTATTGCTACTTTTACGTTTACTGTTCCCTTTTTTGGTTTGACTGGTAGTAAAGAATGTAAATATAAATATAGAAAAAAAACATTCTGGACACACACGCACATACGCACATGGACACCGATTCAAACATGAATGTAAATAAAACCTCTGATATTACCTGGGCAACTCCAGCAGACCGGTGTACAGGCAAGATGGAGTGACAGCGGGGATGGCCAATCACACAAGAAACGGCAGAGCCAATCAAGGAGCTTGTGGGCGGGTCTAAACTAAGGGTAACAGGCTTCAGCTTGAGCGGCCATTTTCCTCTTGGTCCTAGTGCTTGACGAGTCTCTGTTTACTATAGCGTAACATTATTTTTTGATGGTAAAAACTGCAGTGGACCAAAACGGCCCAAGATCGGATTTTTTTTTGGCGTGAGAAATTGGATGTGTGGTGTGAGTGCGTGTGAAAACAGGCAAAACCGTGTGTCACACGGCGAAAGCGTGAGAGTTGGCAGCTCTGGCCTCACCTCACGCTCCTCAATTGTGAGGTTTACGCTGCTGTGGGCCGAGTGGTGTAGTGGTGCCGTCTCTGGTGTTGTGGCCTCTAAGCGGGCAAAGAAGATGTTCAGCTCCTCTGCCAGCTCGAGGTCACCTTCAGCAGCTCCGAGGTTGGATCTGTAGTTGGTCAGATGTTGAACTCCCTGCCACACTTGCCTGCTGTTGTTGCTGCTCAGGTGGTCCTCTATCCTCCACCTGTAGTCTGCCTGTGTGGTGGTGTGCAAACAAGCTAATAGACAAATTTAAATGGTAAATGGACCTGTACTTGTATAGTGCCTTTCTAGTCTTCCGACCACTCAACCGCCTTTACACTATGTGCCACATTCACCCTTTCACACACATTCACTCAGTGATGGCAAAGCTCATCGAACAGAAACTAACATTCATACACACTCACACACCGATGCACGGCATCGGGAGCAATTTGGGGTTCAATATCTTGCTCAGGGATGCTTCGACGTGTGGCACCAGGAGCTGGGGATTGAACCCATAGCCTTCTGATTGGGGAATGACCCGCTCTGCCTCTGAGCCACAGCCCCCCCCCCATTTAAAGGTCCAGTGTGTAACATTTAGGAGGATCTATTGTCAGATATGAATATGATATTCATAGGTATGTTTTCATTAGTGTATAATCACCTGAATATAAGAATTATTGTGTTATTGTGTCTTTAAGTCATTATGATACATCATCTGGAAACCATGAATGTCTGGATAAGATCTTTATTTTGTTAATTTTTTTGTTTTCCACCTAGTAGATGTTGAGATATTTCACTGGGTAGGTGGATTTCACAGCAGCCCATCCAAAAGATATTTCATTCCAAGGAACCGGCAAAACAGCTAGCATGGCTGAAAATTGATAATTCCATTGATGCTGAGCACTACAAGTGGTTTGTCTCCTACAAACGTATGTGTGTAACAATCCTTAAACATGTATGTATTGTTTGCTGATTAAGCTAAATCTCTGTATTCTGTCTTTACATTGTAAAAAATATATTTTGGTTTATTGCATGTTTTAGTCTTGAACAGTTTGCTCAGGTCTCAATCAGCAGCTGGTCTCTGCCTCCTTTAGACCCAATCTGGACAACGTCATGCTCCATCTGTCCGGACTTGGGTGTGGTGGATGTTTTAATGAGCAGAGTGATGTTGGTGGGGCCACCCCCACTCTGGCTCATGGACCACACTGTCTCCTGGGCTCTACCTGCAGATGCAGCCTCCTCCTCCACCACCTCCTCTGGATCTCATTTTGCACCTGGATAAACATTTGCATTATTTCTAATTTTCTGTATTACTCATTACTTGTTACTCTTCAAAATACTTATTACTCCCTGCCAACAATAATTAGTTACACTACTAGTTATATTACTTTTCTGTTACTCCCCACAAAATGGTGTTTCCCCCTCAAAAAAACATCAGACTTACAATGATTAAAATCCAGTTTTGTTTGTTAAAATCAAAGTAATAGAAATATTTCCAGCTGCTTAATGTAGGCATTTCTATCTCCAGACATTACAATTACAAAAATGAGTTCAAGGATGTGACTGGATTGTTGGATTTCAGATCACTAGGTGGTTCCAATTATAGTAATTAAACTAATTATATTTTGGGGGAATAATTGTAATATTATTACTGAAATGTATTATTTATTAGTTACACTACTAGTTACAAAGGAAAGTAACATTATAACTGCAATATTATTATTAGTAATGCCTCAATGCCCAACACCAATCAGTTAATTATTTTTGAAATGAGGGAACTGCTTCCAAATATGTATTAGCACCATTCAAAC